TCTTGGAAGTCTCATCAGCCCTTTTGGTCTGGTGTGTGACGAAATCTCAGCACGGATACAGAAGGCTCGACTAGCTTTTGCCAACTTGCGTCATTTATGGCGTAGACGAGATATCCGTCTATCAACCAAAGAACGTGTTTACTGCGCAGCAGTTCGTTCCGTCCTACTTTATGGCAGTGAAACATGGCCGGTAAGAGTAGAGGATATTCGTTGGTTACTAGTATTCGATCATAGATGTCTTCGAAATATTGCTCGTATATCCTGGGAACATCGAGTAAGTAACACAGATGTTAGGAAACGGGTACTAGGTAAGGATGGCAAATCGATTGATGAATTAGTGAAACTTCATCAGTTGAGATGGCTGGGACACGTGTTACGTATGCCCAACCACCGACTGCCTCGACGTGCGATGTTCAGTGGTATAGGAGTAGGTTGGAAGAAAGCTAGGGGCGGCCAGATCAAAACACGGCACAAGTCCATGAAGTCACTGACAAGTAGTCTGAGTCATGTCGGTAGGTGTAGACTACCTGGTTGGGGACCGCGAAATGATAGCATTCGATGGTTAGAGACCTTGAATGACATGGCTCAAAATCGTTTGCAATGGCGCAGGTGCGTCCACTCTTTGTGTTCATCTAAATTCTAATCTCCAGAATATTTCATGTCTCTTTTTTTCTAATTTCAAATTTATTTCAGTGAACATCTTCAAACTCTAATCTTTAAAATTACTGCTTATACTCTTACTACCTCTACCACTACGAGACTTGAATCGATAACTGTATCTGTGTGCTAGTGTGGTATCGCAACTTGAATTGATTTATGTACGCACGAATTTCTATCTTTTTGCTGACTGATTTATAGTGTCAAACAAAATACAGAGTCTCAACCCTGGAAACTCACTTTGATGTGCGTACATTCTTTTTCATTTTATGGTTTCAACACAGTTCTCACATGCTTTTCATGTGATTTCATATCGATTCTGTCAGTCACCAGATCGTCTGCATCATGCTTTGGTGTAAAGCATAACTTAAAGTAAAATATTAGTAAAAATTTGGAATTTTGTACAACGTTCGGGATAGAATGGCAATCGATCGAACGCCAACAACCTAAATGTCTTAAAAGCATCTTCATCTAATGGGATGCCGTGAGACAGCTTGTTCAAATTAATCTTGGAGAATAAGTTCATTCTCTATTGGTCAGCCGATGAATCTTTGATATACGATACTAGATACCTAGCTGATACAGTTTAACTGTTGAAAGCTCTGTACTCTTCTCATGGTAGCTTGTTACAATATTTTTGTGATCATGGCTGGGGGCGGTAGAGGTACGGATAGTCCCTAAATGTGTTGTGTGGCCGAATTTGGTTTTACTGATCTTATGCCTACCAGAGCCCAGCCTGTTGGGTTTTTTGGAGGCTGAGGTCCCTTGTCATTTACTCAAACACGTGACCCTGAGTTCATTCAAACAAGACCCCATAGGCAGTGGCCTGACTAGAAAACAATGAAATAAGATAACTAATTTTTAATGGCGACCGGCGTTAACTAATAAAAGTTCAGTTAGAGAAGACTGAATTGCATGAAAGCATAATAATACAAGTTCAGAATAAATGTTCAGCTGCAGAATGAACTATCGTAACTGCATGATTAATAGCATGAGAACTAGCTTCCAGTCAGTGCTAAAACGTTTCAACACTGTTATGATAAATGACGTTGGCAACAATGTTAATTATGACCGTCCGTATAACATTAATTTGAAATAACATCGTATTTTCTTTGGATACTCCCGCTGACCATGAAATCTCATCCTGAACTGCAAAAAGCAGTCACAGCATTGGCTTCGACCAGGAACAAAAGTATGGAGTTGCTGCTACTAAAGATAGAATGTTAGCGTCATTAAAGAGGACCGATGGTATCAATACTTCCTTTCCTACTACCAGGAAAAACGTCAATCAACAACAATGCTGTCGAGACATTTTGGTGGGATTTATAAAGCATTAATCGTTACAATAAGGTATCGCAATCTTGTTGCACAAGCATCTAATTTTAGTTGCTTGCTTTATATAATTAATGGAAGTTATTTGTAAGTCTCTTTGTAATCTATCAGAAGACTTGTCATTTTATTTCCGATTGATCGTATTGTAATATTTCCCTTACGAATAATATTATACACACTTCACAAATGTATTTGTTAGTGCTGATTGTTGGATTTTCCAATATTGCATGTGTAAACTGGTTAACAATAGATTTATTGAGTTGAATGATACTCTACTTTTAGAAGCACATACGCTCTCTGCCCTTACTACATGACTGTTTATGCTGATGCTAGAAGTATACTTGCCCCAAAAGACCGTACATTGACTGTCATTATCGGGTTGATTCCGGAGAAAAAATTCAAAGGATTTATTGAAGGTTGTCTGCGAATCTACTTCCGATCCCGTCCAAAACATTGGCTTTCTTCATGTCATAGATTGTCTCAAACCCCGGAAAGGTTGACTCTAACGCTGGTTTTTGTTCTGATTGAGGATGTATTGACCATATCGTCGAAACTAGAAAGACTCTGAACCCACACTCACTTTGCGTACTGAGAGGATAGAAGTAGATGAGAAGTTTATGTACCTCAGTATCTTCGTAAGCTTGGTGGTTGCGTCTGTGATGAGATCGATTCACATACGTTGGAAGCCAGAGTGGCTTATGACAATCTGGGTCATCTTTGGAGCCCTCGTGATATTAGTCTGTTAGAAAATGATCGCATTTTCAATGTGTCAGTGAGAGCAGTCCTTTTCTATACGTGTAAGACCTGATCTTTACAAGTTAAGGACAATATACTACTATCTGTGTTTGGTCATCGTTGTCTCCGAAGGATTGCTGACATCCAGTGGTAACTCCATACTAGCAATACAAATGTTTGGCATCGTGTGTTATTGTTTTATTTAATGGCTTTATTTAACATTTTATTTTGGTACAATATAGAATTCTCAGCACAGGGTATTTCAAAAAGTTACCTCCGCAAGAAACAGTAACAAAGACAAAAAAGAAAAAAAGGTTAAAAAACCTCGAAAAAACTGTATAACTTTTCAAATTAGAGACATGTTCAGAATGCAGGTTATTGACTAGGTTAACTCTAACAACCTGTTCGTCACAGAGTATATTTGCTAGGTGAGGTATTATAAAACTTTTATACTTTTGCTTGCGTGTATGAATTCCACCAGAAAACATACAAGGAGAAAGATAAGAGTGAAGGGGATGGTTAGCATCTGATAAAATAACACCTGGCAGGAGTTTGTATGACTTAAGATGTCTATTCACAACCATATTATTTATGACCTCGAAAGATTCACCACACATCTTGCTACCTACCTTCAGCACTCTCCGCAATACAGCAAAGTCTCTTCTCAAAAGCCCCGGAAGGAATAATGGAGAAAAGTAAAAAATAATAAATACAGCAATGATTATTCAGCTGATGCCACTATATTGAAACATCTACTTCAATGGCTTGGAAATGTCTTACGAATGTCGTACCAGTACATTCCACGTCGTGCATTATTTGCCGAAGCCGGAGAGGTTGTAATTGTATGACATATTGTCATAGTATGCAAAAAAGCTGTACAGGACTGGCTTCTGTTGGTCCTTCCTGACTCTCTGCTTGGGCCCTGGAGATGGTGCAACCCAACGGCTTCAGACGCTATCCGACATGGCTCAGAAAAGAAGCCAGTTGACATTGTGCTGTAACTGTTTCCATAAAAGTGAGCGTAGCGTATTTACCTGGGCAATTCTTCCTTGTTGTATTTTTTCCTAACTGAATTGCTTCTCTCACCATTCTTTCACTTTCAACCACTAATTTTTATTCATTGTCGTTCTTTTTATTATTTGGTGGGTGGTAGGCGATTGTTCAGAACCATATGGTTCTTGTTAGTGTAGCAAAACAACGGAAAAGTACAACTTCGAACTGGCGTCCACGGTCTGTGTAGTAGTGCTAGTCACTCGACGAAATTGAGGGCGACTGTTTGAGCAGTACTATCCTTGACAGGTATTTTTTCCCTATCACATGAAACGGTTCATACACTTTGGGAAGTAAATGTATCCACTTGGATCTCATAGGAGTACTGCCAAAGAATGATCGAAACGAGTGCGACGGGTTGCGAAAGGACCTAATGGACATTCGTTGTACCTAAACAATTAGGATTTCCGAAAATTACACAGGAGTATGCTACTCTCTCACGTCTTCAATCATATTAGGCAGTAAAAATCATTGTTATGTGCGTGATGGTAGTTCAAACATGTGGGTTAGATATGTTGTGCAATGTATCGATATTATTTCGGCACGATTGAACGATCCCTAACTGTAAGTGTGTCATAAAGTAAAGTTTCCTCACTCGTTTGTGTGTTTGAATCGTAGTTCCAAGGTAGTCTAGGACAACTCGGAGATAACTAGTAGTTGCGAGGTATGCGTATCACGGAATTCGCACTCTTGATCTGTTGCGGATGTGTAATCAAGTGTATTCAACTAGGACGTGTCCATGAAAACTAGCAAAGTTAATATGAATGTTAAATATATACAGCACTATTTGTTTTGGTGATTTTTTTCACCAAAACACATCTATGTGATGATGACTCTAATAGTATAGAACAATGCTAATTGTTTACAGATATTTTTTGGATTAAGTGAATGAAAGTATCACGGAAGTTGACTCAATTGGTAGGAAAATGAAAATCCAAAGCTATGCATTGCTATACACCAGTTCAGAGACTCAAATTCAAGACATATGAGAAGCACCTCCAGTCGCTAAACATTTATTCATCAGAGTAAATGCATCTTGGAGGTGAACTTCTAATGGCTTGCAGCGTCTCTGACACTTCTGAACATCCCCTTAAATACCTAATTAGGTCCGTTAAGCAAAAGCTTCTTCTATTCCGTCCACAATCATTTGAACCATTTCAACACTAGATTATCCCAAAAGTATTGAATACAGAACAAGCGGGACTTATTAATGCTGTGTTGCTTCTATGTTTCAGGATAATAATTCTTCTCCTCTAATATGCTTGTCGAAAATTGTCCTCAGCAGCATACCTTCTGGGTGGAAGGTTAAGTCTCAACTAAATGATTGCTTCAAGTTGTTTTCAAATATTTTGCCTTTCTCATCACCACTGGAATTGGAGTATTTTTTCCAGTTTAATCATTTCGCAAATAAGGGAGAAATAAAAACTATCTATGGGACGTTCGCTTACTACAAAATATCAAAGAAGTTGAAACAACTGATGTTTCGGAAGGAACTGTCGCTTAGTAACTCATGTTTGTTGTCTCTAATAGAAAATCCTCCCCCTAATTTCACCACTCATTGCTTGCTTGGTCTACCTTCAACATTATTTCGACAGTTTATCATCATTGTGAGTGCTTTGTTTTCCTCATTCTTCCAATAGAATTTTTGTATATATTGGCTTCCAATGACACATGTATTATATCATCGCACAGTTCCGGAGGAGAGCAATACCGGAGCTTTGCAGACTGTTTTCAGTTTTTTAGCCGATCCACACGTTTTCAACAAATTATATGAAACATGCAGGTTTGTATTAATGTGACCTCATTCATATTGTTTAGAGATGTGCAAGTGTTTATATATTCTTGGATGCAACATGGTCATTTCTATGGTGTTAGTGGGGCAAACACAGAGGGTGAGTTTTCCTATGTTGATTATGCTTATCTTTCCTTCCCATTGAAAAGTTCGTTTTGTAAGGTCTTTCGCAATTTAATTGTTTTCAGTAAATTTTATGCATACTGCTGTACAACTAGTATGTGGACCGTTAGGGATGTACGTTTTTGTTGTGATTAAAAAGAAAAAAAAGAAAACATTGAAGTAGTGCCAATATTTTCTTTTTGTAGCTGAAGTTTCTAAATTCACTTTATATTTACCTAGTGGGTATGTATGTATGTATGCATGTATGGGTTCGATGTGCAGTATAGAAAGGTCCCAACCATAGTTACTACGTTAGTGTGGTGGTCGAAATGGCCTATCGTGGTGACTCAACCGAGCTATATTGTTAGAAACACATGCTTCTTTTAGGCCCTATTACACCAGACAGGTGGTTTGTAGAACAGTGAGACTAAAAGATATACTGCCGACTGTAGAGGAATATGACAGTAGTAAGGTGATCTATTTTCAGTTGCTTAATTAAACAATCATTTGATTTTTGTTAACTCCATGAATTCTAATCAGTCAGTCAGTCAGTAACAACGTAGAACTTCGTACGTACGTACATCAGTTCGAGTTGCCACACCACATTAGCACAGAGATGCAGTGGTCGATTCAAATCCCGTAGTGGTAGAGGTAATAAGAGTATAAGCAGTAATCGGGAAGAATAGTGTTTGGAGATGTTACTTAAAGAGTATAATACAGTGAAATAAATTTGGGAAGACAAAAAAAAGAGACGAGAAGGAATAAGGAGATCAAAATTTGGGAGAACATTAAGAGTGTATGAACCTGCGTCATTGCAAACGATTTTGAGCCATGTCATTCAGGGTCTCTAACCATCGGTTGCTATCATCTCGTGGTCCCCAACCAGGTAGTCTACACCTACCAACATGACTCAGACTACTTGTCAGTGACTTCATGGACTTGTGCCGTGTTTTGATCTGGCCGCCCCTAGCTTTCTTCCAACCTACTCCTATACCACTGAACATCGCACGTCGAGGCAGTCGGTGGTTGGGCATACGTAACACGTGTCCCAGCCATCTCAACTGATGAAGTTTCACTAATTCATCAATCGATTTGCCATCCTTACCTAGTACCCGTTTCCTAACATCTGTGTTACTTACTCGATGTTCCCAGGATATACGAGCAATATTTCGAAGACACCTATAATGGAATACTAGTAGCCTACGAATAGTTAGTTTCCGCGTGATTATCGTACCCTCTAGTGAAAGACTATGAATGACATGGCTCAAAATCGTTTGCAATGGCGCCGATGCATCAATTCCTTGTCTTTTTTTCAAATCCTTAGTTTCTAAATTTCTCGTAATTTTTTTGTTTCCATTTCACTAATCCATATTTTCCTGTCGAGTTGTATGTTTGATTCCTAATCTTTCCCATTACCATTCATACTTTAACTACATCTTCTACTGTCGGTCAGTCAGCTACAACGTAGGACCAGACACATATGTGCATCGGTCAAAGTTGCCATACCTCATTAACACAATGAGATGAACACCGGATTCATAGAAGTACTTAATTCAATGGTGGTAATATATAAAAGAAAGATTGCATATAAGTACATAGTACAGGGAGAAAGAGTTAGTTCGTAGAAAGAAAGATATGGAGCGATTTTAATCTCATAGTTTAAGGGAAGACAGAGATTGTAAACGCCGACGCCATTGTGATAGATTCTGAGCCATGTCACCCAGAGTCTTCAACCATTGGTTACGATAGTCACGCCGACCCCAGCCGAGTAGTCTGAATCTACCAACATGGCTAAGGCTAAAAGTTTGTGACTTCAAGCACTGATGCCACGTTTTGGTTTGGCCGCCCCTAACTTTCAGCCATCCCCAACACTAGTCAGCATTGCGCGTCGTGGTAATCGGAGTTCAGGCATACGTTACAGGTAGCCCAACCATCTCAGTCGATGAAGATTTACAATATCATCAAATGATTTACCATCATTTCCCTACTGTGGTATTTGACCTGACAATTTCATCTTTTTATGCTAATGGAGTAGGGCAACTTGAATCGATGCACATACGTGCCAGAATTTACGTTGTGACTGACTGACTGATATGGAACGATTTCAAAATCCAATGACCTGCTCACCAATGTTGTGAATGGAAATCATAAACTAATACTTTTTTTATGATAGTGTACCACTTCTCTTCATTTAAATAGTACATATAATCTTTAACCATTAGTCAGCTTTATGCTTGTAAAGAATCCTATTCCAAAGAAAAGAATTCTTTTAACTCCAGTTAGCCAGTTGATCTTATGGGTGACTTTTTGGTGTTTAGTAAAGATAGTTACTTGCTTTTGCACACTCATAGTTCTAGCTCTGTTTTTTGGCTCTCGTAAAGGTCGTTGGAGGTATGTTGGCCTTTACTACTCCAGTTTGGACAGATGATGGTAGTGTCACTCTCACCCACAAAATGTTTAGTAGACATGAAGTACGCAAACCTATGCTTGGTTATAATTTATTAGTCGTTTTACAATCCCCTTCCTTTGTTTTGTCGAATGTTGCCTTTCGGATTTTATCTTACCGAATATGTGTTAAGTTCTTACTCTTCAACATCACGTTCTACTGTTAGTTAGATTTTATATTACTTTTTAGGTTTGATCGTGAAATCAAACATGTCTGCTTAAGGTTCTCAAAGTAAAATATTTTCTGTGTATAGAAGCAACCACGTAGTTCCGTATTGGATCACGTATGAACCTTAAATACATTTTTTCACTTTTCTTTCTATGCCACATTTTGTACTTCTTACTCTGTTATAGTATTTTCTCAGGTAAAAGTTTCGTTATTCTTGTTTCGTTATTTTTGTAACCTACTGATAAAGTCCAAGTCAGTCAGTCTTGATCGAGATAGCCTGACAAACTTTCATAAGCTCAAGTCCACATACCACGTCAATGTGACGACATGAAATCAACAAGATAAGTAGCAGAAAATTTGAAATAATATAGTAGTAATAATATCAATCAAGGTGTGAGGCTGAGAACTTAGTTTAGGATAAAGGTGTACATGAAAAAATGGGACTAAAAGTCTTGAGAAAGATAGAGCAATAAAAATGTAATAATTTCATTGGTTTAAACTGCTCTTTCGTTAACTATAGATTGTATAATAGTTTGGGTGATATAATCCTAGAAAATCATACATCTACTCTCGCTTCATAGCTACTAAAAGTAATATACAATCTTCATTATAATATTATTATATATTGAACTTTTCCAGGTTTTTGCTTTTGGGACTGCCAGCAATTAAATACTTTTGAACTTTTTACTGACATCTTTCATTGTTGACAAACTAACAACTCTAAGACAGTATTATAGGCAAGAAATGTAATTCAGTTTCAGGATTTTTTTTGCTAAAAGCGTCACATGAGTTTATCAGCCGATCTCATAGTTAATTATCAAGATATTTTAGTTGTGGTGACTTTTATCAGATTAATATTGAAAACATGTTCTAAATCTAATAAACTTTTTATTCGTTGATCTTCAACTTTCAGTCAACCAATACATAAACATAGTTTTTAAACATTCAGATTATTCTCCACTTGTTGAACCGCATGCGTTGTCGAATAATTTGGTTTTAAACTTACATGAAGTTCTCAATCGAGCTCCCCGATTAAAACGTAATGCAGCTGCAGAAGTAATAGCTGCTGCGTTGCTTGGTCTTAAAGTTTCTAACTTCTTGTGCGAGTGCTCAGAATATGTGCATGCCTGCAAAGCGGCTCGGAGTGTTCATGAAACTGTGCGTTCTTTTTTCACGCCTACAAAATTCCATCATGCTCAGCAACGTCTCGAGTATGACGCTATGTGCATGTAAGTGGAAAAGTAATCTTTTCATTATATATATATATATATATATATATATATATATATATATATATATATATATAACAATTGTATTGGATCAAAATTTGGTCTAGTCTTGTCAAAATATATGTCCGGTCTATATTTATTTATTTATTTAAACACATGGATATTGATACAAAGGGGCACCGAATACATATGCGCCACACAAGTCACTTGGTTTTTACGTGTGCTGTGATACTGCCCGGGTGCTCAGACCGAAGCAGGTGGCTTTCTTCATGGGCCACACCCGGAGACTTCGACCTAAAGGTCTAATCCAGTGGAGCAACGCCAGGAGGTGCAGTCCCATGGTAGACGGTGACCAACGGTTGGTTCATATACCTTTTGTTCCTTCAAGATCCTGGAGCCCATGTACACCACTGGTTTGGAATCAATTTTCCAACTCCTCTAAGTGGATCCTCCGTTTTCACCAACCCGGTTAAAGCGCCGGGCATTCGCTTTTCGTCCTCTCAATTTCGTAAACAACACCCCTGTCACGAGGAGGCAGTAAGTAGGACTTCGCTGGTAATGGCTGTATACGCGTGGTCGTGTGAGAGCATTTCGAGAGGGATAGCAGAGTCTTCCCACTTTCAGCTGTACCAGAGAAATCGGGGGCTTGGAGGCAATGTTGTTTCAAATTGATTTGAATGTTTTTTTTGGCTTTTTAGTGATAAGTAGTAGCTTTAGATTATGATTTGGTTATACGTGAAATTCCAGGCATATATCACTTATAAGTAAACGGTTTAGGTTGTTCTGTAATCATCAACTCCTGAAATATGGGTTGTATTTGTTCCATAAAGGCCGGTTGTGCCAAATGGATGTCAAAAGTACTTCCAAAGAATGAACTTTTAATTATCAGTATTACCACTGTAGATTGTATTTGTATCGATTACTTTATGTAATACCATTTCTTTTACTCTCTCGGGTACGAAGCAGAACTCCGATTCGTTAAACATGTATTATCGTTGGCTCGTCAACAATGGTGATTGCTCAGAGTGTAGTACAGAAATATGAACACAGTTCATGAATCTCTTACAGGTAACAGGGGATTCATTATATGGCAAACAACTCAGTTTTATCTCTACGTAGATTGTATAGTTGTTATACCCTTTCAAGCTTTTAAAAGGCTGTCATTTTAAGTTTAAAACAACCATAAACGATATTTAAGCTAAAAGAATATCTCATAAAGTATTTTTACGGAAACGTATATTTCAAAGCGTTGGGTAAGTATACACCTTTTTTAAATATCCCGCATATTTCGAGGATTATACAAACTCCCAACTTAAATTATTTTTTTCTTTGTATTTACATGCTTTAAATTTTATCATTAGTATGCTTCGAGCGATGAATGCGCATAACATGTACTTAGAACCTGAAGATCAACAAGTTTTCCAACATGAAGCACCCGATTTACTAAAGTCGATGTGGAAGTCGAGGTTGCTGATGACTAAGTCAATGAATATGAATAATTTTGACTATTCCTTGTTACCAGTTAGCCTGGAAAATACATCTCAAAATGCTTATGTTTCTATCGGATTATCGGCTTCTCGATCATCTGATGGGATTTCTGAAGGTACTTCGTCCCCTTCTATCAGCATTCTTGGACCTGCCGGTGATGAGTCTCCTTGTGTATTAGAAGCGCTCACAACTCGACCGGCGTCTTTAATTTCAGATGTATGTTTTTATATTCTACCATCAATATTTATCTGTCTGACTCGTTATTTCAAATTCTTAAAATACATGCATAAAACTGGTTTTTTAAACTTCAGTTTTAATTGGTTATACTATTACTCAAGACTTCGGTCTGGGCACCCCGGTAGTATCACAGCCCACATAAAAATCAATTGACTTGTGTGGTGCATACATATTCGGTATCCCTTTGTACCAATATTTATATGTTTAAATAAATGAACTCAAGATAGTTTAGATCATCATTCCTACCAAGATACTGTATTCAACCAACCAAATCGTTTTCACGATATCGCTTGTTAGATTATTTCCGAGGATAATTCTGAGAACTCCAAGATCCAGAGAATTAGGTGTTTTAAATAACTTCTTTTCGGTTGGTAATTAGCTGTCGTTTACGTTTTACTAAATAATTGTCTTTGGCTGAGACGCTTACGTTGTGAATATTTCATACATAGGACATAGATCTGTGTGCTAAACTGTTCGAATTTTGTATGTTTCGCCTCAGTACGTATATTTACGAGGACTTGTCGAAAATGCCTAACTTTTTTATTCACATGATTTTGTTGAACACTGCTTAAATCAATCTTTAACGTGTTTAATCTACTATACCTTGAATAGGCGGTTGTCTCTACATTTTCAAGAATAAATATATTGAATAACTTTCTGAACTTCAACGTTTGCTTTACAGTTTTGTGGAAAAGATGAGTTGTTGCTATTTTAGGAGTCCAAACTGAGCGTTCCGTCCCATTCGGGACTTTTTCAGGTGTATTGATATTGATATTCACCTACTTCGGTTTGGGCACCCAGGGAGTATCACAGCACACATACAAATCAAGTGACTTATGCGGCGCATATCTATTCGATTCCTCTTTGTACTAATATTTATGTGTTCAAATAAATAGATAAAATATCGGGATTCGGGCTCGCTTCAAATTCCAAAGCTTTGTCTACTGAGCACAGAGTCTAGGAACGCATTTAAAGTGGACGCTATTTTGTGCATGTCCTAATATGTACATCAACACTCAAATGGAGGTACATCCGATTAACAAGTCTCATGTCGTCCGAAATGCAGGTACCAGATTCCATTGTTACATACTTGTGATATTAGGGTTATATCGATGTAATAGATACAGGATGTACGTATGCCAAAAAACACTGATCAGAATTTGATGTTTACAAAAAGCCTGTTTTGGGAGACTCAATAACCACATATGTTGAAGCCTATAATGAAACCACTCACTAATACCTGTCGCTAGCTATACCAATAGTCTAGTTGGTGTCATAGTAAACGGACTTAAGCATTTTGTAAAGAGGATCTTACTGTAAATAAACAAAAGAACCTTTTTAGCCGAATTTTTATTACTGAGCTGCAATATATTACTCAACGTTCTGCTAATATGGTATCTATATTTTTGGGTGTCAAAACATTTAATCGATTTCCAGTCAAATACTTGTATTGAGAATTTAAATATTCTGAGTTGCTATATTAAAGATCGCCGTCAAATATCTTCATGTTTCTCATCGTAATTCAACCTTCCAGTTTGTGTCAACAAAATCTAAAAGGTATCAGTCAAGTGTTTTATTTCATCCCCAAATTCATCTTTTTTCATGACCTTACTTCATGACTTATGCTCCTTGTATTTTTTTCAATTCTTACTTATTGTTCATTAATATATGTTTTCTGGTTTCTTTTGAATTGTTTTTTTTCAGTCCTACTTTCCAACTGTTTATTCGACCTCCGAAGTTGTGCTCAACCTGTTGGATGGTAATCTTGATATATGTATATCCACTAGTGCTTATATGAATGCCCAACTGGCAACTTATCATTATTCCATGTGTCACTATCAGATCGCTTTTCATTTTACTTTGTTGGCTATTGAACAGTTAGAACTATGTTTCAATCACGGTACACCACCGTCTCCTCATGTTACAGTTGACGTTCTTCGTATTATGTGCAAAGTATGTATCATCAAAAGAAAATATAGCTTAGGGTTAAGAATTATTCAACATGCATTAGTGTATACCAGGTATGTCTAGTGTTATTGATAATTTTTTAGCAACACAATTCTTTAAAAAAAAATAATATTGGCCTAATTGTGTATAGTATTGTGACCAGTTGTTCTATATCATCAGGTGTTATTTATTCTATTAGTTTATTATTTCTACCTTAGACTTAATCTACTCTGCCGATGGTTCCTTAAATTAACTAACTTTTATGTTGTAAGGTTCTAATTCTTGTCCTATTTCATGAATTATCTTCGGCCTTCAAGTTTTCATTGATCAGCTAAGTAGAGGGGCACCTTTATGAAATTACTAGTTGAAACTCTGGTTTAAACTCTTTAAATCAGTCAAGGTTATAACAGACACATGGTATCGTAAGTCCATAGACGCTGAATTCAACCTTTAGTCTAACTCATAATTCTCTTCTTGGCGATTGTTTCCTTTTAATTAAATACCTTAGTTATGTACCAGTATATGATAATGCTGTTTTGGGCGGTCGTCTGATTGCAGTACTGATATACATGCTGTTTGAGTCAGAAACTCAAGACTAAGTAGGAAAACTCTATTGACTAAGTCGAGTCCAAATGTATGTACTGACTCATTCATTAATGTAGATATTCGTCCTTCAAAGAATTAAGCCTGTTTTTTAACCAACAGTGTATATCTACCTCTGGATCATTGGACCGAATTTCGATCATTAATATGCATCCATTAGCCTTGAACTAATACGTATGGTTGACCCAGCCTATCAAATAGTTTATATAAATAAACGAAAGTGATTATTATATAATATTCAATTTTTCACTAGTTCACGATTTAAAATTCTAGTATTGAAGTTAAAATTTATACATCTAATTAGTATATACTGTACATATGTCTTGTGAACCATTATTATTTCACTGGTGAATTTGTTTTATTTGGAGGATTTGTAGAACGCATTGCTTTAAGATTATGCTAATTGATTAGTGGATCTTGAAAAATTCTAAGTTTGATCGACCATTTGAGACTTTCGCGTTAACTAGCCATAGGGATCGAAAAGATCATTTATTTAACTTCTTAAGATGTCAATCGTCAGTATCACCATGCTAAGTTCATTCAGGGCAACACTGACGAATAAAGTAAAACTGTAAACTGTTGTAAAATTTTCATTATTTCCATAGATAACTCCAACATAAGTCTATGATTATGTGACAATTAAATTGTGACATTATTGACGGATTACATCGAACTTTGGAAAACGTTATTCTCTCCCTGGTGGGAGGGGAACGTAAGGAATTTGTCGGGCCTCAAATCAGATCAACTGAAGTAGTCAACCGATGAATATTGGAATAATGCGATGAGAAGACGAGGGTTATATTTTTAAAAACAGCAAATAGTCTGTAGAGTTCGAGGTCTGTATACATAGCTCTCTTTCCTTATCGTATCTTCCTTTTCATATCTTTTTATACCTAAATTTCAAAAGTAAAACAGTGGTTATAGCGTTGTTTGTAGAAGGACTGCAGTTTTCCCATGACCAAACATTCAGATATTCTTGAAGGTCACTGAGACTTAGTGGTTATTTACTAACTGCTCTAATTTTCAAATATATATGCAGACTAACTGACAAATTAATGACTCTGAGTCATTTTTAGCCTGAATGATTTTTAAAATTTCACGTTACATAGTAAGTTTAAACAAATGTTGCTTTGGAGCAAACTTTTATTGGTACAATCTTTAATATGTTTTTTAAAAAAAATGCAATTTTGAGATAGTTTTATTATACTAAATGTTCATCGGTAGTTTATCAGACTAATTATTCTTTTGTGACGAAAGCTTTCTCGTGGAGAATGATGTACTTGGTGCACCAGTGTAATCAATAGATAAAACCAGATAAAGTTCCATTTCGGTTTGATCAACCGGGTATAATATTGTAGTGAACGAAGACTTGGCGGGGATAACCAATTATTTTAGTGCAAAATTACCGAGTGCTTTCATAAGATATGAAAACCACACATTAAATACATTATTTGCCCATCTTTCTTCAGTTGTTCTTTACGTGTTTCATGATTCCTTCTATACTGTTGTCATTACAATTGCTATCTGTTTTCTCTCCTGTTCTCTTTAATCATCTCAGTCTTCTGCTGGTAAGCATTTCATTCCCGATTGGTGCTACATACTGCTTATATTTGTCAACATAGGTAGCATACACCGTAGTATTATTGGCTCTCATACTCAAAGTTTGACTGTAAACCAGGTACACGAATCTGTACATGGCAAATGAGTCAATAATAATTTTTTGTGTTCACGAACCAACCAGATTTTCTTGTTTTTATTTTGATTTCCAATGAATACACTCGTAGAACGTGCAATGAAATTAAAATACTTTGTACTTTGTTTATAAGAGGCTGTTAAATGTTTCCTCATAAAAGACACACATTGATATCTGTTTCATTTTTTCTTGGTTGAATCGTGAAGTGTTAGTTAAATATATGAGAAAATAAATATACATACATTCCCTATGTTTATTCTAAATTTTTGATCAACCTTACTTGATTATTACTTTAATCGATCGACTTTATTACATGTAGGTAAAAAAAAGAAACTTTAATTTGTCTGTCAACATTTACGTATTTTACATCTGACTGTTTTGCATAATAATCAATACCTTATGTTCTACTCACTATGACATATTCTAATGGTTTCTGTAATAAATATAGTTTTGCAGACCTTAAGTCAATTACATTAGATTTATAATAATTAAACTATAGTCCTTATCACTTCACCTATTCGCATACACGTTCAAATGTTTGGTCATATTCTAATTTCTATTTATGCGTATTTATTCGTTAATCAGCTATTGCTACATTCATCTCATTAATCAGATAACTATCTGTTTAGTATTACTAGTATGGATCTGTGTAGGTATCATACAAGACTAAATAGATATGGTGACGTTAGATTATAACAGTAGTTAGTTCCTTTGGTTGTATTAAATTGAAGACCATCATTTTTTTTAATACCATCACAATGAAATACCCCTCTCATATAAATTTGACACATAGATACAAAGAACACATGGATCCATCTACTTCGTTATGAATGATTAATTGATACAGATTGGAAACTTGATCCAAGTTGAATAGGTTGTTGGATAGTATTTTTTTTAAACTGACAAACTGTAAAGATATTGATGAATACAAAAAAATCAATTTACAACTTTTCTTTTTATCGAATAACAAGTATCATTTCTAGTTAATGTATCGTACATATAAAGAGAGAAAGGAAGTAGCAACATTACCTTAGTAAATTATATTACCTCTATTATCAGTCTTTTGTGTATTCATATTGTTGGATGATATATATATTAATACACTATAGATCTACGTTACGATCAAAATTGATACTAGATGATTACATCTATTGTTTCTTCACTAAAGTTTTGTTTTCATTGTTAAATTCTCATTGAGAAATAACACTAATTACTGAATCAAATATATTGTTTTCTTCTTGACAAAATCGGATATCTTTCTGAATATTTATTTCAATTTATTTCTATACTGATCTGTTTTGTAAGATTATTGGTTAAAAATGAACAAATATGACATTAAAATTGTATTATTATTCCTTTGATGAAACAGTTGTGGTTGTCTAATTTGTTATTTTTCATAACTTATACATCAATTCCTATATCGCTATATATATATATATATATATATATATATATATATATATATATATATATATATATATATATATATATATATATATATATATCACGGTGTATATGTTGTAATCGAAATAACTTTTTCTCTCAAATCTTCTAAGTTTAAAAACATCTACTAATATTGACTCTTTTTTATAGTTTTAAAATGACAACAACCAAAGCACTTCTTATCGTATTTGTTTTTCATTCTTGCTTTAACATTTAAAGTAGTTCTGTTCAATGTCGACTATTGTCTTTATTGGTGTTTAAATAATGATTGATTTTTATGACCAACTCAATATCCAAGTTTAGGTTCGTGTAACGATTAAAAACTACACCCATATTTCAGTATTCTTTTATTTATTTATTCAAGCGCATAAACATTGATACAAAGAGGCACCAATTAGATTTGTGTTATACTTTGTCACTTGATTTGTGTGAGGGTCGGAATATTGCCGGGACGCTCAAACAGAGGCAGGTAGTTTTCTTAGGGGGGCACTCCCCAAGCCTTTGACCTAAAGGTCTAACCTACAAGACAGTGTAGCAACGTTAGGAGACACAGTCCCATGGTAGCCAGTGGCTAACATTAGATTCGTAAGCCATTTGTTTCCTCAGGATCCTGGACTCATGTACACCATTGGTTTGGAATCAGGGTTTTCTAACTTCCCTAGGTTTATCCTTCATGTCCACCAACCCGGTTAGAGGGTCAAACATCCGCTTTTCATCCTCTTAGTTTCGTAAATAACACCCTCGCCACAAAAAAGAAGTATTCAAGGTACAGTATCTGCATTCGTCACATCAGTAGTATTTAACTGTCCATACAGTAATGTGACTCCATGTTATTGAAAACTCGTGGAAGCATTGGTCACCTAGACTGATATTTATAGAATGTTTTTCTCCGTTGATATTTGAAGTCTGTCTAACTCTACATTATATTACAAACACAAATTTGTTAATTTGATTTGTTTATTTTTAAAAATCGCATATGAAGTGTTTTGGGTGTAGTATTTGTACCATAACTATTCAATGTGTAATGCCTCCTTTTATGACTAAATAACCTTGAAATGGTATTTAAGTTTTGAAGGATTTTTCACCAAATATTTTTCGATATGTTTTCATCACTCTCTGTATTCGTATCAGATAATCTATTTTCTCTCTTTCTGTCTCTCTCCCAACAGATCTGTTTATGGTTATCGTAATTTGATATATGCTAATTTACTTATTGAATATGGGTGTTTAATGCTAAATACAGATAAAACACGTAAAGCAGCAGAAATTTATCGGGTTCGTTTTGCATTGTTTATTAAGTTGTGTATCATATTTTTGTTTCAGTTTATCTATCTATCTATTATGTTGTACAAATGTGATAAGCAGGCATGACTATAATCGTGCATTAGTTGTATTGTATCGTCAAGACTATAATAATAATAACAATGATAATAATTGTTCACAATTCTTATTTTGTAAATCAAAACAAGACGTAGTGCTTGTTTTGTTTTAATATAATAATAATAATAATAATAATAATAATAATAATAATAATAATGGTTGTTGTTATTATTAAATATTTAATTATTTATCCAAATTCGTCTTATTTTCCCTTTGTAATCATAAATAAATTACTAGATTGTAATATAAATCAGTTTGATAGAATAGATTATTTCTAAACATGCAGTCTTTACCATAGACTGATGTCATTTGGAGTTATTTAAAAGCCACATATTACCAGATATTTGTTTTGCCTGAATTTTATAATCCTAATAAAGTATAATTGTGATTAGTATGTGAAGATTCAGTGAATCTGTCATCGTAGTCTAGAATTGGTGTTACTACTTTCAATGTCAAAGTTTTATTACTGGTACATTGAATCTATATTTTGAATTTGTTAGTAGTTATAACTAAAGTCTTAATATTAAAAGTGCTGAGTCGGCTTTCCGAGAACTGCAACGGAGCCTCCATGTTAGGTGTGCAGAGGAATATGCCAATAATTATCGTGCCAAGTCGAATGGTGTCCTTGGACATTAAATGTACATTTCCTATTGGTCGATATTTGCTTCAGTTGTTAATATTGTGTAAATGTTGTTTCCTATTTTTATGGTACGATGTGGTATGCTTGGTTAGTATATAAACAGAGTGTGTTTGAAATATAATGATTCATATCTCAGAGGCTGTGGCTTTGTTCTGGACTCAACTGGCTGGGGTAGACAGAGAAGCAGGGCCAATCAGGACACTAGGTCGTTTGTACGTATTTCCGTGTCACTGTAACCGATCGATCGATATAACGCTGCTTTATCAAAAACCTGCAGTCATAGTCACGCGTTACAACAATTGGCGACGGGGTAGAGAAAATTTGGAACCCTCTAATTGGACGAGATTCAGCTTAATTATTTTGACCAATCAGCGTCCGAATTTATTATCGGTGTTCTTGGAAGCCATTGGTTATTAATTGGTCACAGTATTTCTTATTACCCTGCTGTCTCAGAAAATGACTATGCTTCCCGATCAATTAAAGCTACTACTTGACCGCCAGCTGCAGCGTTTCAGACAGTGCCAGTTGAATGTTTTGGACAATTTACGCACGCGACTGCTAAATCTCCCGTGTTTTGGAGATGTGGAAGAAATTGATGAATTAATTTCTCAGCTGCATACTGAACTCGAGAATGACTGCAGGAGGTATGAATATGAAAACAAAAGCCTCTATGAATCCTTAACGAGCAGCAATGCAAACGAGGCAGTCGCTCATGATCCGTCCAGCGATTCAGAAATGTCCAGTTCAGAAGCATGCCCTGTCGTGGGTTCAAATCCCACTGTGCCCGAAACATGTGAGGTATACAACTCACAAGAAGAACTCGTGCCAGAAAATGTGTATCATGCATCAAATAATGGTCAGGAATCTAATACAAATTTCAAGGAAGCTGTTTATTCTAGTGACCTATTATCCACTGATGGAATCTTGAAGAGTTCTGGTGAATATGTTTCACAAGAATCAAACCCTAATGAACTCATGTCTGGTGTCGCTAATCCTCATCATCTAGTCAGTTTTAGTGAACCCTCTATTCAATGCGCGAAATATGCTTTAAATAGAATCAGACTAACTGTTACTTGGGTACATGAGGACCCAACATTATTCCGCGGGGGAGGACGGACGCAGGAAATTTTAAAATCCGGATATCAACTCCGGATCCTCAAAAAAGAGGGGGAGGTGTTAGGTGTGCAGAGGAATATGCCAATAATTATCGTGCCAAGTCGAATGGTGTCCTTGGACATTAAATGTACATTTCCTATTGGTCGATATTTGCTTCAGTTGTTAATATTGTGTAAATGTTGTTTCCTATTTTTATGGTACGATGTGGTATGCTTGGTTAGTATATAAACAGAGTGTGTTTGAAATATAATGATTCATATCTCAGAGGCTGTGGCTTTGTTCTGGACTCAACTGGCTGGGGTAGACAGAGAAGCAGGGCCAATCAGGACACTAGGTCGTTTGTACGTATTTCCGTGTCACTGTAACCGATCGATCGATATAACGCTGCTTTATCAAAAACCTGCAGTCATAGTCACGCGTTACAACACTCCAGAGGCTCTAAAGAAGCCGAAGAGTCCTAGCCAATCAGAGCATGATGGAGCTTTCTAGAATGTCGATGTGGCGTGCTACTATTGGTCATTAGCACGATTTGTCTTTTAGCGGATTGGCTAAAATATGATGTTGATTTAACAAATGTTAACATCTATAAATACCCGTGTTTTCTGTATAAAAAAAACGAACCTTGGAGTAAAGTATTTTCTCGCATACTTTGCGTCTTCCCTCTTGTGTTCAGGTCGCTGTATAGTTCTAGCTTGGGGGTTACGGAATAGCTTAGGAAACGAATATAACGTTCAATTCGCAAGACTTATATGATGCATATAATATAGTAATTTTTCTTGAAAGAAACAAAACGTATACAATTATACTACCTTTGATATACTTTTATTTTTTTTTAGTAGTAAAATTCTGTTTATCAGAAGTTTTGAATTTACGTTTCATGCTTGTTTACATGTTATTACAGATTGTAAATAAAACGATGAACCTAGTTTATGTTTATAGTTTATTATATGTAATAGACATTCCAGTTACCTTAAATATTCTAAATTTTCAACCTTATAAAAAACATTTATGATTTCTAAGAGTAATATTTTCTACTTCTCATTAAAATGGTTTAAACCATTTAAAATGAAATCATATTTGTACTCCTCCTGTAATTTCATCACGTCAAGATTTCTTACTAAATAATAATAATTCTAAACTTTGGTGTATTTTTCATGGATAAAAGGCATAAATGAATTGTAGTACTTCAATTGATAATGTTTCTGTGAAATTTCTTGAATTTATTTAGAGTAGTCTACTGCCTACTCAATTTTCTATAAAGTATCAATTTTTAGTGTTTGAAATTATCTATCATTTTAATTCATAATTACTTTGTTTCTATCCCATTTATAATAATTAATTAGAGAGAATAAGTAATAAAGATCACTCTAAGCTGTGTTCAAATATATAAACTTCCTGATTGAGTGTATGATTTGAGACCATGTTTAACATGACTGAAAATCAGTCACAATGATGTAAATACATTCTTGATTTATCCCTCTTTAAAACTTCCATTTATTTATTTGTTCATTTCATTCCTGCTTCTTTTTTCTCATTTTATTATCGGTATTTTATTTCAGTTACTTCGTTGATACTGTTATTTTGACTTGTTCTGTATCTATTTAAATTTCTTATCCTTTTTTTTCTATATTTTAATCTAAAATATGCTAAGTTGTACTGATGACTATTTCTCACTAGGTTCAATTGATTATTTTCCTATGAAAATGTATTGTATTTTGAATGATTTATTATAATGAGAATGTTCATAATTATAAATTTAGTCACTTCATAGATTATCAATCAGGTGATGATTGCACTTTACATTATAATTAACATGTCTCATAACAAAATCTTTAACTTTCAACCACCATTGGTTTTCCTCAGTTGCTACTTATTTTATAGTATTTTATTCAATATAATTACTTCTATTTATATGACAAGTTTGTACAAATCTCTACCTGTTTGTACTTCATATACTGTACTAGAAGACTATGCAATTATTAAATGTACCATTTTATTTCTATCTGGTTATTACTTTGTACTGATTTATATGGCGATTAGTTCTGAAATCATATACATTTTAAACACATGTGACTGTTTAATTGTGGTCTGTACTAATTGTGAACATTCTCATTCGAATTCACACACCTACTTCAGTTTCAGTAACTGTGTGATATAATTGTTTTTATATTTAAAATGTAGCCCGTACCTGGTGAATGAGTCAGATTATATTTACACAGAATCACAAGTGTGTTCTGAATCTAAAGTTGACGCAATATTGAAAATTTTAATTCATTAATATGAATAGCTCAATATACTGACCACGTTGTATTCGGCTTATCCGCTTAGAGCGCAGAAGTTACGACAGAAATTATTTATATGCACACTAATTTTTAAACACAACTTTTATTCGTGTTTTTTTTCTCAGTTCACTTAATAAGATTAATCATCATTTTAGATTATATACGGCGAAAGTACACCTTTGTTTAAAACTACTAGACAATTGATTCTGAGCTAACACGCTATCATCTCTACCTCATTTATTGTAGTTTATGCAACTTAGAATATTTTTCTTTGTTCTGCATAGTTGATTGATGAATTGGATTTGTTCATCATTTCTTCGGTTTTACTGATTAAACTTGTAATGCTACAGTGTTTTTCCTCTCGTCATGCCGGTTTTTGTTATTATTGATTGACTATCCCTCACCCCCCTCCTATTTGTATATTTTTTTTGCAGATTGCTTTAGCACTAATACTGAATTATTTACCCGGTGCTAGTATTATGGTTGCTTTAGCACTGGAAGCAATAGCTTATGCACACTATGTCCTTGAATATACATCAGGTGATTTCGGTTACGCATTAAATTGTGCCGAGATAGCTGGCCTAATGCTTCGTCGTTTGAATTATGGTGTTTGTATGCAAGCAGCTTCAGCGAATCGAGTAAAAGGTAAATTATAGTTGTTAGTTGTGTCTATTTATACTTAGAAAAGAATTGTATTTAGTAATTTATGAGTTGTTTCATGGTGTAACATATTCAGCTGATGCTATGTAGTAATTATTCGGTCGAGTAATTTGTACAAAGCATGCATACATTGCATACTACCAAATTGTTGTAAATAAATACACTAATTTTATAAAATCTAACCTTTTAAAAATAAAAAATGAGTTTTCGTGAGAAAACAGTAAAAAGAAAGGAAAATTTCTCTTTTCCGAACAATGTATCTCATCAATGTATGTAAGTTGGTGGTAACACTATATCGTGACTACATTTTGAAAGACCATAGATTCAGATTTCATAATCTATGTCCAATGACTATAAATGAAGGTCAATTGTTATTTGTTTTTTTCCATCTAACTTCTCTTCCACATTGAATTATGTTAACAAATATTTTAATGAGCAGTATTGTCTTACAGAGTTTCATGATAGAATTGTCATTCAAATAGATGTGTTCAACTTCAGTTTGTTTTAAGCATCCGTAACCTGTTTAATGTTTCAGTTTTTGATTACATTCAACAATATATTATAGTGCCACTCAACTTTACCTTTTTAAGTACTACTGAAGTATACTTTTTTGTCTTGCTAAAAATTATGTACGACATATAAAGTATGCTTTAAACAGATTCTTCAGCAACTAAATTTAGAAAGTGTTTTGACTCAGCTGTATCTACTCAAATCAAAATTTCGATTCAATGTTGAACACAACATGATTATTGTTTGATTGGACTTGTGTTATGTCTGTACTTTGATACCAACCAGTTAGAAGGAAAATAATGTCAAAAGCTTTTATGGCTTTAACCGTTGATAATATAGGGAAAACAACTTGGATAAGGATACAAATTTCAGGGTATCCTTAAATACAAACCATTCCGAATGCGAGTTTTATGATGTCTGACACCATGGTACTCACTCAGTTTAAGAATGTACACTGGTTATTATTTTTCCAGCTAATTCGGTTACATTTTTAAAGAGTAGTACACTTCTCAACAGAAAGAAAGCAATAACCATATCATTAGAATTTAGTTGGTGTCGATCAGAAAATCATTGTGAAACTAATGTCTCCGTACTAAATGCTCTACGAGAATACTGAAGAAGTAGTTTATAATTATAATAATAGTCATTCGCGTTTTTCAACCCCAAAATTACAAGATTTTTCATACCGTTTCGTCCAATGAAAAGGCTATTTTCATAATTCGTTTCAATTGGTTAGTCATGTATTTTCAAATAGTTATAAAACATCAGTGCTTGTCGACGAAGTACTGTTTAATCATCATTATGGAGGAGAGTAACGTTCCGAGTACAAGCGCTGTTGTTTCTAACGTAACAGAAATGGAGGAAGTCTTTTGACTACATTTTTTCTCGTTGCGTTCCCATCGCTTGAAGCGTTGAAGTCCGCTATCACAAATTATGGAAGATCGACTTACAGTCATTATGTAGTTCGAGATTCGCATTTGTGCAGATATGAAAACTCGTATATTAAATTTGTATGCTGGAAACATGACCGTATAACATCTAGCGGTTCGTCACATCGGATCAGACAGAGGAGGTAATTTGATTAATGTTATTAAAATTTTTGGTCATGAAGGGCTTCCATGAACACTCAATATCCGGCCTTCATGTATTGTAAGATCATAGACGGCTACTGGACTGTTGTACGTGGGAATGTGCATCACAACCACGAATGCAATTCCCTGAGGTAACAAGGTAATTCATGGGTACGCAGGTTAACGGATGGGGAGTTTCAAATTGTGAGACCGCTGCTGATATCTGGTACCGCTGCATTCCACATAAAGAATTTTGCTTACCAATCTTTTGGGAAACGTCTGACAGATCAAGATGTCTGTAATATGCGGTATAAAGTGTTCTCACGCGCGAACCTTCCTGGTAAGCGATTTGCCAATTTATAATGTACACCAAAGGTGATTACGGAAAATTACAAGCTCACATAACATCTTTGGGCGGGCTTTGCGAATACGAACTAGACGATGATAACTGTCTATCGTATTTTTTCTTCATGACTGCTTAGCAAATGAATTTGACAGTTCGTTTCTGTGATGTTATTGGTTTTGACGGGAGGTGCAAGACAAATAACGAGAACGTCTATTTATATCAGGTCGTAGCCCTTGATATGAATTTTAAGGCAATGCCCGTTTGCATTGCATTTTTAAGTCGCGAAACGTCGGCCTTGATTTCTCGATTCTTCTTCTTTTTCCAACGGTCTACCAACAGTCGACAGGTGATAGGCATTGTGACCGATGATTCACCTGCAATAGCTGCTGCCATCACGCAGGTCTATCCAAATGCCCACCACATTTTGTGTCGTGTACACCTTGTTCGCAATGTGATAAAGAGGGTAAGTGTACCGTTCACTAACATTAACACATTAACCGTAAATGTAGAGGGTACGATCAGAAATTATACAACATTTTTTTGGCCTAATGTTCAGTCGAACAATCGAAAGGTAAATCAAAATGTGCATAATATTATTTTGTAGTTCTAACAATGTACTGACGTTAATCGAAAATTCCGACCAAACATTTGTCAGATATGTAAGAGACCACCTGTTACCGAAAAAACACAAATGGTCTACTGCTTTTCGACCATCGTCAACGCTGCTTGAACAAAATAATACCAACTTCGTGGAGACGAGTCATCGAATTTTGAAGATGTATCAGCTTCATCGAAAAACACCGATGCTGAGATCTATTTTCAGTGTGCTGCTTCGCACTGGATATTGGATGGAAGCAAGATTACAGAAATATACATCCGATTGCCGGATAAAAGCCAACATCGGTCAAGAGCCATCAATGCGTAGACTTCAGGAACGATTGACACCAGCTGCATGTCAAGTACTGAAGCGACACCTGCGCACTCCTATTACGGAGTTTGTAATGTCTGTTGACTTATTCACGGCTGTTGACGCAACAGTCACTTACAATGTACACCGTGATTTCATGCGCTGCTCCTGTTCTTTTTCCATTGAAGACGGTTTGCTATGTCGGCACATATTGGCTTACTGTACACACAGTATTACTGATGTGAACGTACAGTCAATTTGTGATAAGTGGTTACACTCTGATACTTATCTGACTCATATTGCAGTTGAGAATTATTTCCCAATGCAATTGAGCCAGCCGAGCATGCAGAATGCATTGATTGCATTAGTGGAACAATGCAGTTCACTTTATAATCATGCTTATCAAGAATTTCACGGTAGACTACCACCAACGCCGTTGAACTTACAGGCAGAACCGCGATTGTACAGTGAAACACGAACGTCGACTCACGTTGCAAGGCCTTCGATGCACCGAGGAAACGTTGATTTGGACGATGAAGTAGTTTCCCTAAACTTCGAAGAGTTAACGGAACGCGACATGCAATATGAAGAAGAGGAGGAATACAACCGTTTGTGTGACATCTGTAATCTGGCACAGCCGCCGTGTGAAACTGGTGATGCAGTTGGTTGAGTTTTCTGTACTTGTGAAGCAATGTTTCATAGGTTCTGTGCTTATGACCCATCACCGAACGTACGAGCAGTCCACTGTCCGATGTGTGGCGCCATTAACCAACTAACAGTTTGGACGTCCCACCGCGAGAACGATTAAAGGCCCTTTTCAGGGCCACCCACAATTTGATTTAAATTAATTTTTCCCAATATTGTTTTTTCTATGGCAAAGGTCAAGTGATGAAGTACTTTTTAATGTCAAATGCATTTACATATCCATTAGACATTAATAATGGAAAAGCGATTATCGCTCGTGTATTCGTAGGCTTAATGTCAACCGTCATTTAGATATCCATATATTATCACTAGCCCTCAGACAATAAGCGTGCTTCAAAGCTCCTTAAACTTGTTCGTATTTTCATATCGTAGTATATGGATTCTGTTAAAAGTACACGTAGAATATAATGGCAGTATGACATGAAGAAATCCGTTTTAATCGTACGTTATAGATACCATGATTGCATAAATTTATAAGTTGTGTGTGTGTGTGACATGCATGGATAAATAATCATGTGATACCTGAGGTCAAAGATAGCGTGATTTAGTTTAAAGTAACAATTTATAATGTGTAAACTGTAATATGTTTTAAAAACAATGGAAAATCTAGATAGTTTTAGGTTTTAACACTATTGAAGCATCTAGACACATGTTAGTTTGAGTTGTTTCGGTCAGTCAAATATGATCAGCGTTAGAACCTGACGAAAAATTTGTATGAACCGCAATACATTTCTTTATCATTTATCATTTTAAACGTTTCTTGTGATTGTTCTCTTATATCTCAACAGTTCCTTGAATTTTTAGAAATGTTCATCATCAACACCTTAATCTTAGCAATTTATCCCTGTTTTCTAATCGAGACAATTCATTGTAATTAATTTCCTTAGTTTCACTGAACATTTCCAAGTTTTGTAAATTGTTTAGAGAAATGAGCGATTTAAAACGTGTCGAGAGTGAAACAGTTTGTCTTCAGTTGCATTGGATGACCATCGCTCTATATCGCAAATTGATTAATGTTAAAACTAAACTATCGGATACTTAATGCTTCTAAGAATTGTGCGTTCGTTGCGAGACCTGAAGGTCTTGAATACTCACCCCTGAAGAGTTCTATACTAATACTAGACAGCTGCCTAGTGCTTCCTGATTTCCAATCTTATCCCGATTCGGATTATTTTGTGTTGCATACAATCAGCAGATCAAACCGATCTCCACATAATCCCTTCAACTAAAACAAGCGAACAATTGATTTCTCACTGAAAATGTTTTTATTAAGGTTAAACTTTTATTCTTTTTTCATTCATTCAAAGCAGTATACTTTTATAAGTCTAATAGTTATCTGATAATATTGAAAGCACATGACTTTTCACCGATGGATTAATGTAAACCACACCCAAGCTTATTTGGGATTGAACATTAGGCTAGTATCATAGTAAGTCTTACATTATTAACGTTGCATTCATGAATTGATACCTTGATCACAGTGTAGCATTTTTATTCACATAAATCAAAGTAGTTACTTTCGATACCCCCTATGAACAACTATTAATGAACACCTATCTATCGTTTATTTGTATAGGTTGTTTGAATCTTTCCATTAATGTCATGGATTCCACTGCTAACCACCATCCAACTCTCATTATAACACCGTATTTATAGTTTATAAATCATATCACATTCGTTTTTAATCATTTGTTGAGAGTTATTTTAAACTCAATGTAATCATTACTGAGCTTAGACCATTCCCTTGAAAATTCTAAATGCCGTCTTTCCAATTTTGTTCATATTACTTAATTCCGAATATTATCTGAATAACTAACATATGTGTACGATAACGAAATAAAACTCTTGTTTCTGCATTTCTTACGAAATTTTTTCTCAGTAATCATTTATATTTACTTGTTTTGTATATTCCCAAAAGAATTTTCTCCTTGCCTTCTTCTCATCTTTTCTATATTACTTCCATCAGATTACTGAGAAATAAATGGTTATATTTTCGATTGTAAACAGAAATACTTTTTATGTCTTTTACACTATCTTGTGTTGGTCGAATATTTGCATAGTCTTTAATAACGATATATTATCAATATTGCTTTTTTCTATCAATTATCTCCAGCTTTGATAATTGAAGAAATTGCTATTGATGATAATGATCCGTCTAGAACAAGATCTGATTTGAAGTTGGCACGTGATTTGCATATGGAGTCGTTAGAACTTTGTGAACGAGTAAGTTATGTAATCTTCATTTATTTATTCATAGATTAATTGACGAATTTTTAATTCAATCTCAAAATCGTGTAAATTTCATAACTTTTGGTGGAATATGGATTTATTATTCCTTTCGCGATATTACACAATCGTCTTCCATTTTCTACGGTGGATACATTTCTCACACTTTACATGGTTGAACTTCATTGGTTACGGCTTCTAATGTGATCATGTGCTCACTAATGACTAACTTCTATGGCAAGTTCCCCAAGTCCCAAGCCGGTGACCAACGATTGGTTCCTACCCCATTTGTTCTCCCAGGATACTGGAGCCCATGTGCACCATTGGTTTGGGATCCGGTTAAAGCGCCGGACATTCGCTTTTCGTCCTCTCATTTTCGTAAAGAACACCCCTGCCATGAGAAGGCAGTGAGTAGAGACTTCCTTGGCAGAGTTGTATACGCGTGGCCGTGTGAGAGTATTTCGAGAGTGAGGGCAGGCCCACCCCACTCTCGGCCATACCAGGGCACTTGGGGGCAGTTTACTATATGTAATCCATCCTTTATACCTCAGATTTTCAATTCTTCTCGTGATTGAGAGTCCCATTCAAACAACTCAAAAAATACAATGGATTATCATATTTATTTTGACATATTCATTTGCATATGAATATTATACCATTTTCAATGATAACCAATGTTTTTTATATAACATGTTTCATTTTTGTGTTGTTTTAAAAGCGGTTTACTCTATGTTTACACTTCGTAATGGTTATTATTATTTTTAGCTTTATTCAATATTATGTTTTTGATTTTGTTTTTCTTAAATGTTTACATAAAATCAGTTTATTTTTAACTTATCCAAATTACATGCTTTTCTTCTCAATGATTCTTTGACTAATGTCGCTTTGTTATGGAAATCATCTTTACATAAATATTTTTATTTTTCATCAAGTTTTATAATTTCTAAGTATAGTTCTAATTACATTTTGGATTGATTTGTGGGTTTTTATTTTCTCGGATAATTTCCTTTTGTTTCGTATTATTTTGTTTACGTCATGGTAACAGATTGTTACGTGTGGATACTTTGTTGCGCCATTTGAAAACCTGATGCAATAACACAAAAGACTCATAGCAGACATTATTATTATCGTTATTATTATTACTATGGATAGTTCTTTAACTATCAATGTCTTGCTACTCAAAATATAAAGGAAATGTAGAAAATTGGTGAGGTCTCCTACGGACTGTAGTACAGCAATTATTTTCCCGGTATTCGTTTTGAGGTGTCCTCACGAATCAATCACACACTAAGGATACAAGTTTCAGGATTCTATATCAAACATTATGCTCATATTTACGTTCAAAAATATAAAAATGGTATTCTTGAAAATCTTGTTATGATCTGTTTTTGGTCGAATATTTCCGAAATGTTGTACTCACAATTAAGCATAATAACAGAAACGAAAGAAAAAAAATTCAGTTTTTATTCCATCAAGATGCGTTTACTATCAATGTCGTGAAATTTAATTCATCTATAGCTCTATTATAGCAAATGTATTGAATCTATTCTAGGCCCTTATTATATATTTATTTGATGATGGTTTTTTAGTGTTGTGTCAGCTGTATCGATCTTGGATGTAATGTATATATAGCCGTGTACGTTTGAGGTCAAAACAGTATTTGTTAGCTTTGTTTTGCTTATAGTCCTACTTCAGTTAAGCTTACATTATGAATACAGTATTGGGTACTAACAATGATAGTAAGCTGCTGTTCATTGTTCGTTTAAATGTTTCGTGTTAAATTTCGGTTTTACAACTGTCTGTCTTTTTTAATTTCACAGACGTATGGATTATGGAATATTCAAACTGCAAAACATTTTGGTAACCTTGGTCGACTCTACCAATCAATGCAAAATAACAAAGTAAGTTTAAGTAGTAACAAGGCGGTCTGCTTGAATATCTGGGCTACCTGTTTTTGCCATCTGATTATTTCAACAAGTTATCTGTTTTTTCATTTGTTTTAATTTATAATTATGTCCATTAATCGCATAACCTATTCAGGCGCTTTTATGAAAAGCTTACGACCTTTCGCTGCACAAGTTACGAAAAAGTACTATAAAAGACATCGTGGTGGTTGGCAATATGCGTTAAAGAGAATGAACATTAATCGTATGTCGATTCCCGAGCTTCTTAATTCTAACTGCCGGTCACTAATCAACAAAGTGGACTATCTGCAATTCCTACTTAGTCAAAATACGTATCGTAATTGTGGTGTCATCACAATTCAAGAATCTTGGTTGAATGGTTTACAGGATGACTGCCTTGTATCACTACGTGATTTTAAAATTTATCGTCAGGATCGATCGAACAATAAAATGAGGTGTGGTGGCGGTGTAGCTACGTTTGTAAACATAAACTGGTGTCGATCTTCGTTTGTGTGTTTTAAGTTTTCAAATGACTTTATCGACTGTCTAACTCTAAGATGTCGTCCAAAACATCTGAGTAAATACAAATATGTTTATGTTACTAATATCTACGTTACTCCAGATTGTACATCATCTGCACTATCTGTGTTGCTGATGAATTCACTGAGTTCGCTGTTACTGCCTTCAGTGATTCACTTTCGGTTGTGTGTGGTGATTTCATTTCATGTGACTGTAGCTTCCTTACGTCACTAGGTCACCAAAATGTAGTGGATTTTCCTACCCGTTTGGATGCTCATCTAGACTTCGTCTTCATTTGTTGTCCCACTGAAACCATTTTTGTAATTTTTGATCGACTTACATCTTCACAACTAAAACGACTACGGAGGATGAAAGAAAGAATGTACAAGGAGAAGAACTCTAATGAAGTTCGTAAGCTAAATGGTCTGATAAACCTAGAGATTAGACGTCTCAACTTTATGTTTACTCAAAAACTCTTATCTTGCAAAAACTCTCCAAGTATGTGGAAATAGTGATGTTTAAGGTCCTTTCAAATGAGAAATACGAACTGAAGGTAATAATTCGGCCATTGGTGTGAAAACGAGAAATTCGAATTCCTACAATTAAATTGCAAAAAAAGGTTTACTAGATGATTTCTGAGGATATAACATCCACAACAATAAAAATAGTAAAAATCACTTTCCAACTTCAATTTATTGACCTAAAGTTCCCAATAAACTGATATACGCTTAAGTAACAATTAGCCATCATCCAGAAAATACAGTTCTTTATTAACAGTTGTCTACGCAAAATACTTCGGATCCGTTGGCTGGACACTATTAGCAACAACCTACTGTGGGAAAGAACAAACCAGATCCCAGCGGAGGAAGAAATCAGAAGTGGATAGGACACACATTGAAAAAAGCACCCAACTGCGTCACAAGACAAGCCCTCACATGGAATCCTCAAGGCCAAAGGAAAAAAGGAAGACCAAAGAACACATTACGCCGGGAAATGGAGATAGACATGAAAAAAGTGAACAAGAATTGGATGGAACTAGAAAAAAAGGCTGAGGACAGAATGGGTTGGAGAATACTGGTCGGCGGCCTATGCTCCATTGGGAGTAACAGGCGTAAGTAAGTATATAAGTAACAATTAGCCAGAAGTGAAAAGTTCCGTTTTTTGTTTTGTTTTAATGACACTCCAAAACTGGACATGAATAAAATGAATTAAAATGTAAATAACTATTAAAAGTCAGTTCTATGAACCATTCTTCAATCTATGATATTAAGATTGAATGATCAGGTCTAATTCTTCCTGCCTATTACTAATAGTAGTTAATTCTAAATAAAATGTTATCTATCTGATAAATTTTAAAATTTCAACTACATTGATAAAATGATATATATCACTGATCAACTAAATAAATCTAGTCATTACTAATTATTTTATTATTTCAACCTCTTTTTTGTTCATTATATATTACTGAATATATCAAAAGAAACATATATATATTATCAGAATGAGGGTTTATTGGAATTGTTGTAATTAAATAGTTGAATTCATGAGTCGATTTAAGCTAGACCACTCCGAAAAACCTGGAAGCACTGGACAACCGTTTCGTTCCAGTATGGGCCTCCTCAATAGTGTGCATCCACGACCCGGTCATGTCCAGTGGAGTTCAACCGTGTCTGTTCTGAGACAGTTACTGAAGACAATGGTGGACGGTCGCGCCATATCGTGGATCGGTTGAAGTTAGACATTAACACCGTTGGATGCCAGCTCACTGGTCTAGAGATTAAGCGTTCGTGCGCGAGAGCCAAGGACTTGCGTTCGAGTCGCGCGTGCGTGATCTTGGATGCACACTGCTAAGGAGTCTCATGCTAGGACGAAACGGTCGTTTAGTGCTTCCAAGTTCTCCATGGTGGTCTAGTTTAATTCGACTCATGGATTCGACTATATATATATAAATTTCACTCATTACCCGTGGTTGTCTTTATTTTGAGTAGTAAATGTTAATACAATTCTGTAATATCAGTGTAGAGTTGTGGAGATCGCCCATTTTTTTCTGAGATCACTAACCGATGAATACTAGACTGCCAATTAAAACCTGGATGGACTAGACGTCCGTTTCATCCTAGTGTACGATTCCTCAGCAGTGTGCGTCCACGCTCCCGCACGCGGGACTCCAGCCCAACCTTGTCAGGTGTAAGGCAGTTACCCACTAAAGACAATGGGAAATGGTCACTCAGTATTGTGGATTGAAGTTAGACATTAATACTATCGGATGCCGGCTCAGTGGTCTGAAGTTTAGGTGTTCGTGCAAGACTAAAGGCTCTGGGTTCGAATCTTGCCTGCAGAATCGTGGATACACACTGCTGTGAAGTCCCATACTATGATAGAACGGCCATCCAGGTTTTCAATTGTGGTCTAACATTGATCTGTCCATTACCTCAATAAAAATTCTTTAATAGTCGAATAAAATTTCTTGTACTTAATCTTTAAGGCAAGTGCGTTTTCTAATCGTTAGTGATATTATCTGTCCTTCCTAATGCAGCAAAAAAAATCTATTTAAACCAACAGTAATCTAATAATTGAACTTCAAATATTTATACCATCAACTTACAGCACTAATTGTACTGAATGGTTGTTAGCGTTCAGCATTGTGTTTTAATTTTAATTTTTCTTCACATTTTGGATTTTAAGATAACAAAGTAATCAAGGCTTTTTTAATTCACTTAGTCTTATCAGTCAGAATCAACATCTATCCTGGGATTAATATATATCAGCCTAATTTTGTCATTAGCACATCAGCACAAGGAGATGAAATTAAGATGATGAATTATAAATGAATTGATATAGTGATTGTATTGATTGTTGTAATGAGGATTAACCATCGGAAAACATGATTTGGTAAGAAGATATAACTTTAAGAAACAAGTTGCATGAATAAGTGTTGAAGGTAGGATACAGAAGAAATACACTGTGATTAATTTTGAACCAATATATCTAACTATTGACCACACTATTGTGTTGCTTATAATGGTTTTCCGATTAGCCTTACTTTACCCTATATTGCATTGTTCCTTTTTGTTTACATCTGTTTTTTGTTTCTTAATCCATTAAAGTTATCATTTGACTGTTTCCTTTTATTTTTCTTTCTTACATTTGTCATTTCAATAAATATGAGAAGGAAGCAGAAATTATGCATTTAAGAGCTATTGAAATTAAAGAACGTTTACTTGGACCGACAGATTTTGAAGTTGGCTTAAGTGTTGGTCATTTGGCTAGTCTATACAATTACGATATGGATCGATTTAAAGAAGCTGAACAGTTGTATTTACGTTCTGTACAAATTAGTGAGTGGAATACATACATATATGCATTTAACATTTTTAGACGTTAATGATGCTTCAAAAAGTATTCGGAATACTTTTCGCTTTTTATTACTTACATTTTATTATACGATGTTTCTTTGCGTTTATTTGCGTGTGTTCAACTAATCAAAATAAACTAAATGCTTTTGGTTTGTATATAACTAATCAATGAAAATACATTTGTACAAACTGTTAGTAGATTAGGAATGACTTTTGAGACGCAGTCATTAAAATAATCACTAACTTCAAAAATGGTAGTAGATGTATAGAAGACAGCTTCAGTGTTGCTAAATGTATGTAAAAGTTTGTAACTTACTGAGTACCAAGACTGTTGATTGGTATTTTGTATTTAAAAATTTCATGGTCTCATCATCCTTGAAGTGTGGTTTTAGAGTCTAATGAGCAACTACCTTAGGCTGATCACTCACTATCTTTTCGTGAGTATCGAGTCGTCTTCGATTAATTCCGTATGTTTTATACTTGACATCCGGCCCCGAGAGTTTATTAGCTACCAGGGATGTGTTTAATCATAAGGTTGAACTTTTGTATAATCTATTTTTGGAAAACCAAAATCTCTGAGGACATGGATCGTTTATGTAAAACAACCTCCTTCACATATGAAATCTGTTGTTATGTTTCTCAAACTGAAATGCCTGAAATTGTGAAAATCAGTTGTTTTGCTCAATATATTACTAAATTGGGTTGTACTGATATGCAAGTTCAAATAGGAAGGAGGAAATGCATAACAACAATTTAAGTTACATTTACGAGTTAAAATAGTTTAGCCTATTGATATTGTAAATAATAAACATACATTAAGTTACTGATTAATTTATCTCAAATACTAACCAGTTAAATGTATATTGTCTAAGTCAGCATATAACTCATTGTATTTTGATGTAGTTTTAAATTATTTTTGTTTTATAATAAAGCTTCATCTACAATCTTTCCTTCCCCTTGAGTCCAGCCATACCAGTCGATTTTTTTTAAGTTGGAACAGGAGACAAGTATGAGTTTCTCCGCAACTATACAACATATTTCTTTTATCATAGTGTTATGATCAAGCCTCCTTTATTCTCACTGAAAATTTGAGATTTTTCTAGTTCATTAAAAACTCTGTTTTAGTTAAAGTTCTATTCACGGATTTAACTTTTGATGAAAGAAAGGACGAAAAAAAAAGAATTATTCTCTTAAAATGATGGAAATATTGATTAATCATTGAGAATAATTATCTATGCCCCAGTATTTCTTTCTTTTCTTAAGAAAAAGAAAAGATTTCATTCTTTTAACATGGTAACGAAAGTATTATCTAGTGTCACTAATCATCAAATTTAACGAAATAGGGAGTGTATTGGATGGTTTGTTTTTGATTGTTTAATTCAGTCTTATTAATTCATACTTTAATGATAAACACGGATTCATAGTGACCAATACAGATTTGAATTACTGATTGATAAAGGCATGAAATAATTTTTAGTGTTTACGACTATTACGTGTTTATATCTGATGTATATGAAATGATATTGTAGTGAACGAGAACACAATTGGGGACAATCGAATTTATTTAAACACAAAATCGCAAAATAAAGTCTGAGAACCATACAGGAAATACTTAGTTTGCAAAATGTCAATCAATTGTCTCACACTTCACTGTTCCTTCATTTTCACAACAATCGTTCTCTTTTCTTCGATCTTAACATTCTGCTGCCATGTCTTTCACTTTTGTTTGGTGATACATACTACTTATATCTGTCAACATCAGTCGCATATGCCACAATATAACAACACTTAATGGGTAGATAGGTACAAACTTTTCCTGCCTGTTATAATTTAGGAGATAATCGCAATCCCCCTTCTATGCACAGTGGGTAATTTCGGAGAAATTGACTCATAATGAGTTATAGTAATTTCTGTGCCTACTTTTTCCCTTTTTTAAGTTTTCTGACTCTCAACATTTTTTTTTCATGTTTCCTGTATACGATTATATTTTTTATTAAACCATATAATCTACATGTTAAGCCCACCAATTCTATCGATGTTACAATATTCACTTGGTTTTTTATTTTAATTTCCCCTTGGTATGCTGATATGAGATATCACACTGTTAAATGAGTAAACGTTCATCCCAGGTTATGCACAGCATGTGTTTGCTAAAGGAATCTATGAATTGAGGTTGTTCACACAAATAAATGAAGTATAGTTGGTAGTGGGACTGAATAAGTGCATTTCATCTTATTTGTTACTCATCAGTTTGATATGTATGCATCCTAATGTTGATGTTTTTACTGAGACTCGTGTCCAGTACTTTTAACTTCAAATGTCAATGTTGTTATCCACTGAGCTACTGAAGCCAATTACGCTCACTTACAACTTCATAATCCATTTAATTTGATAAAACTTGCAACAAAATAGCTATACTGATGCGATTCGCACAGGATGCACAAATGCCAAAAGAAACTAATCAGATTTCAATTCTAAATGTTAACAACCAATTAATTGCTTACCCTTACTGCAAATTGACTGTTTTTTTCTCTTTTGTATATGTAAAGAATCATTTTGTAATAATTTCAGTCCACTTTCTCTCTGTGTTATTTAATTGATAGTAATTGTTTTAAACCATTTGTTTGGTAAGTTGATTAATTATTATTCTTCACTTTATTGTTGATTCCTATTTTTAGGTTTAAATTTATTCGGTCCTACATATAGTGGATTAGAATATGATTATCGTGGTTTACAACGTGTTTATCATGAATTAGGTAATTATTCAGAAATGCAACGTTACCAAGGTTTGTTTGATTATTGGTCTAAAGAAAGACAACGTCTTCGTTCATTAGAACCATCTGAATCATCAGATTCTTTGGAATTTCTTGATGAAAATAATATTATAGGCTTAACTGAACAATCACAACTTTTAATGGAATTATTAAAAGAATATAAATATCAGTTTAAATCAATTTTTGAAAGTTTACATGTTGATTATAACAATGAGAATATGGTGAATACTGCAACAACAAGGCAAGATACTTTCAATGTGAACTTTGGTGGCAGTAGTACTATGGAAGCTAGTCGATCAACAGGATATTAATATTTCATGTGCATGATTTATATATATCTGTTTAATTTATATTGTTTTATATCTAGAAAACGAAGTGTTTTCGTCTGGATATGTTTTATTTGAAGAATGAGCATCATTTTTTGCTTCTCATTACTTCATTGTTTGTACATATGCCAAAATAATATAATTAGTAACATATATTCCTTTTTAAAATTTCAAACTCTGTTTACATTACGTATGGGGCCACTTATTTTAATAGACATTGAGAGGTATCTAAAAAGTCAATGGAAAAGAATTAATATATTTTGAATATAATTGATTTACATCAGCTCAATCGGTCCAAAAACTTGATTATCTGTTTGTATGCAGATTGCAAATCTGTTGTGCTTCCGGTTGTTATGAAGTTTGTCATGTTGCCTCTGTGCGTACCTGGATTAGGTCAAGCTTATATATATATATATATATATATATATATATATATATATATATATAGTTTAATCTTGATGATCAGCTGATTGTCACCTAGGAACACTATTAAAGACTTGTTTGCATTTAGTCATCTTATCGTTCGTCGTAAGCTAGAATAGGTTTTCTTGTTTCTGTTGATACTTGACAGTTCGATTGTAGCAAAACGTTCAAATCAGTTAAATGTGTGCATAGCAATGTTGATATTAACTTTGATCATGTTAATCCTGCCGTCACTTCATAAAGTGTGATGCGCTTGCTTACCCATTGTGAATACTATACTGTTTTCCATGGTGTCTTAGTTGCTGTTGTGAAACATTGAACCTTTGTTTTTTCCACAATCTTGGTTATTATTCTCGTTGCTTCGAGTGCTGTGGTACTTCCTCTTACCCAGTTTACTCGTAGTTCGCCGCAGCTTGAAGCTTTTGGTGAATCTCTTAATATCTTATAGGTTAAGATTAAATTTTGTACGCGCTTCATTGTCGTTCTTTAGACCAGTGGGGGGTGATGTGAAGAAACTAATAATAATGTCTCCTTGTTCTGTTTTTTAGCGTCATCCGTAATAGTTATGTCTTGCATCGTTAAGTACTTCTTAATCAACCTTAGCAAAGAAATGGATTAGATTAATCTCTATCTAAACTTGTCGTATTTGTTCATGAAACTGAGTCCCACTGTCTTTCAGACTACACGTTGAAATGCAAATTGCTTTCTTATCAGAATATGTTTGTATTCTTCCTTACTTCCCGTCGTCTATTTACAGCAGTATGATTAAGGTATGAGTGGACCCTAATTCATAACTTCGGAACATATCACTCCAGTTTATGTGTCATGAGAAAATTAATGAGTTTTGGATTGTCGGTTCAGTTAGTTTTTGAATACACCTCCTCAAAATTTGGTGTAAACTTCAAGTGGATATTGTAGGGGGTAAAAACCATGCTGTGTTACTGTTCTAATAAGGCTTACTGAAATTTCGATTCTTCTTAATAGTGAATTCATATTGTTAAAGTTTATTATGAGACGCATGGTGATAGGATTTGGTACCATATCTGTATAGTTTTCAGTTTCTTTTGCTTTGTTGAACCTTTTGTTTCATAAAGGGTGGTTCATTTCTCATAATCTCATTCTCTAAATTGAATTTAAGCGCAAGTGAGTGTCATTTGGATACACAAGCATTCTCTTAAGATTGTTTGATAATACAGTCAAAATGTATGCTCCATATACTTTAAATTTTACCTTTGTCATAAGAATACCGAATATTTAAGAAATTCCCATATTGTGAGTGAAAACAACATATAAATGGACAACATTGTTTTCAATAAGATCTTCATTAGACTTTAATATATACAGTAAGATTTATATACATATACGAAATTATTAAACCAATCAACACGCATTATAAGTCTGTAATGTGGCGTCGAGTCGCGTTTGACTATGACCACCACTACAGGAGGAATACCTGCTAGTTAACCGATAAGATCCCCCGTAGGACAATTTCAGAAGACAGTTGATGGCTGTGGTCGAAATGTATTTGTTGGCGATCTCGTGGTAACGGATGAATACCGAGACCGTGCCAGATTACAAGTGTGGTTACTGAACGTAACCGGATTCGTGCAAGGTCACAAGCAACGGAAGAATGTATGTGTTTTGGTACAGTTAGACACACAAGTACGGTAAAACAATTACCGGTGCAATTGGCTATAATAATGATTGTTTCCATTACACCAATCGCGTTATCTTGATAAAAATACGTCACTACATGAGCCTTTCGCTAGAAAGGGTTTACACTTTTGATACGTAGCAGTTTCGTTCGTGGGACTGATCAGTAAGACGAAAGGGTTGGCGGAACAGGAAGTGATCGTCGATCCTCGAGTTGCCCCCGAAGATCTTTTACATAGAACGGTACCAGGAGAAAAGTACTGTATTTGTTGCTCGTTTAGCGTGCCACACCAGATTGGTTTATATCCAGGATCTGAAGTATGCGTTCTTAGGAGTCCAAACCAGAAAGCGCTGCTTAAGTAGGACGAAACCACGTCGAGCCAAGAAACGACCATAACAACCAAGCGCGAGACCGAACACATGCCAGACAGATTCGAAACCAGAATATCGACTGAGTACGTTGACAAGAGCGTGGGTGATCAGGCCAGCTTTCGCCGAAATTGACTGAAGTCGACAGTACCAAACGGGCGATGGTCGGAAACATGAGTTCAGGATGCAACAAAAATCATAGAAAAAGAGAAAAGGTGTAGCATGCATGTAGTATAGAGGTAGAGTCCTATACTGTATTCGTTGTTGATTGTGCGGTTAGTCGCAAAAGCGTAAGGTAGGCGTACTCGGCGACCGGAACGTGAAACGGTAGTTTCGTTTGTACTTCATGAGCCTGCAATCTCATCCGAAGTCGAGGGCAGCGTGGTCTGCTGATATGGACGTGAGACTGAAGTTTCGTCTGTAGATGATGCAGATGACACGTGCTGTTGACCGGGACATGAGAATGAGGTCTCTGATGTATCTGTCTTGGGATCCGAAGTAGGTGTGGGGATCTCGCTAGTAGGCTAGATGGGTCTAGCATTGGGTCTCAGGTTGTCGGGTAAGGCGCTGTCATAGATGTGTGCTGGTTTGAGATGATCAATGCTGACGATCTCGACGCGGCCATGTCGATCAACCTTGAAGGTCATTTCGTGATTAGAAATCCCGTGAAAAGGTCGTTCGGAAGGCTGTTGCAGGGGGTTGCGTACCGAATCTACTCGAATGAAAACATGTGAACAGGTAGGTAACTCTTGAGGGAAGGCGACCTGTCGATGTCGTATTAGAGCTGAAACCGGAAGCACTGTTCGCATAAATTCAGACAGTCGATGGACGCAGTCTGCTCCGTGGTGTGGAAAATTCCCCAGGCAGACGTAATGTCGAGCCGTATACAAGTTCAGCGGCGGAACATTGAATATCTGCCTTTAAGCTCGTTCTGATACCTAAGAGGACGAGCGGTAAGGTTTCGTACGAATTGTTGTTTTCGTGTGCTCGAAGAGCACTTTTAAGTTGGCGATGAAACCGTTCGACTAAACCATTTGATGCTGGTTGTTAGGATTAGTACGTGTGCGTTCCGTACCAAGCAGCCGAGACATTGAGGAGAATAGTTAATTGGGGAACTTTCTCAAATTAGGCGTGGAATATATCGTCCCGCGAATAAAAAGCGCCTAAGATTTGGTATGTGTACATCGGAATCTATTATATTAATACTATTCTTATCGTTATGCGTCATCTTAAGTTGTTGTCAGAATATTATATATTGAAAAATATCATTACGAAAATGTGCAACAGACGTGGATAGATAAGTAATAGACTCACTGCAATTGTCTTCTTTGGAAGATTTGGCCAGAGCTTGAAACACGTTCCTAGATTTGGATCACCAGTTGTAGTGTGGGATCGAGTCGCGGTCGACTATGATCACCACTACAAGAAGATTGCGTACCAGAACTCGGAAGGCGATTGGGGGTTGAAGCGAGTTATATTTGTTGACGATCTCGTGGTATCGAAATAATACCGAGACCGTATCAGGTTACAAAAGAGGAAGCTGAGGTAAGAATCGATTAAAGAATATAAAAAAAGAATTGAAAATGTTTATGTATACTCCGTCATTTTTCTCTTCAAATGCCTACTCACCAGTCATAACGTGTAAACCCGAATTAGCCTGTTGCACGTTATTTTGATAGCATGCATAGTCAGCATAAAAAAGGAAACATTAGTCTAGGAAATACTAAACATGGAAAATTTTTCTCAATAGAGTTGAATAGTGCTTACACCGGTCAATGTTGAAATGTAGAATTCGCGAATCACCAACGCAGATGACTTGTGTCAAGTTTAGATGAGAATGATGTGACCTACCATATGACGTCAAAGTCACACTTCGCTGTTAGTACACAATGTGGATTACCCTGCCGTCGTATCCAGTCACTATGGCTGCTCTGACGACCTGCGCGCTTTTTTGACGAAAGTTTATTATTAACGTGATTTGCGTTTCTCAAACTTTTGTTGTGTTCTTACGCAACAAAAGTACCATTTCTGATCTAAAGAATCTGTTCTGAGCTATATGTTCGGTAGATTAATTTTTTTTGAGTTTCACAAAATTTAAAATTGACTGTGGTTTTGCCTCAGCTTACTATTCGCTTTTTTCAGTTTTTTACGTAAAGGCTAGTTTCAATTTATCCATTTTTACCCGTTTTTAGTGTATTTCTGACGTTCTTAGTCCTTTGCTAGCATTTATGATACAGTTTACGTCAATATAGTCATGAAAAAATCATGCAAACGACCTGAATGCCGTTTTGCTGTTACAACCGGCATACAGTGAGATAACTACAAAAGGATAGTTCCATAAAGCGTGCACAGATCTCACAGCAACTGCTTGTAACAGACTCAGCAAGTTGGATCATAAGTGAAAATGTGATACGTGCAACATGGATGCTGTAGTTTTGCTGAGTGACAGGATTTTCCTATTGACAAGTCTGCTGAATAATTTGTCAGCAAACTAGGGAAAAGGCAGTCATACAACGTGTAGACAAACAAGGACGCTTAATGAAAACAAGAATAGGGATGTCGAAAGGTTTACTATCGATGGAGCATGCAATAGCACTTGTGGTGACATGCTGAAACTCAGCACCATCATAACGCCGACGGCAATAGACCCCCTCCGCATATTTGGGTCTCCCAACGCGAGGTCCTTTAATGCAACAGTGGTTTTCAAAAACTCCGTAGGTGATTGTACCCATGTCAAAAGAGATAAAAAGGACCAGATATCACCGTCTGAGCTCAACGTCTCGACTATTGTACGGAAATCAACTGGTGACTTGGTTGCAGAGCCTATCCCCAAGAATGTCCGTCCGGTCATCAAAGAGCCTAGGAATCGGAAACGTGCTTCGACCTTCAAACATTAATTTGCTGAACCTGAACGCACAGGAAAACCTGGGAAAGCAGTGAGGGTTCGTGATGAATCTCTGATATATATGAGCCTCAAAGACAACCCTGACCATCCTCTCAGTTTGCAGGACAAAAATGACAGGATGCTCTAAGGTGAACTGAACAAGAAACTTGAACTTCTTAGAATAGAGCCTTTGACAGTCACACCGCTCACTTGAGGAAAGGAATCTAAGCATCAATATCACCCGAAGCTATTTCGCGTAACATTTAGGAATGCCTCCGACGTAGAAGATGTCCTGCTAACTAGTTATTTACTAAAATCACATGGGAACGTAAAAATAATGCCCTACATATCGTATTCTGAGCGCAGTCTCATCCGGAACATTCCCAAAGAATCTCGCGAGAAGTGTTTCCGCGGAAGAAATATAATTCTGCAAGGTGTACCGGAAAACACGGACCCTAGTCAAGCAAACTCTGATATTAGGGAATGGAAATTCATCAAACAGTCCTTGAGGCTCGAAAACATACTGACTCAACATGTGACTAGACTAGCCAAGAAGGACGGTGATTCTAGATTCTGGCTAATGAGGATAACTTTCCCAAACTAATTTGGAAGCTGACTCACTGTATACTGATTTTTAAAGGAGGTCGACTTAGCGAACTTTCAAGTTAGCAACCGATACCTCTTCTCTCTATACCTTCAAAAATTATGGAGTCCCTGATACGCGATCGTATACATGACTATTTACTATCCTTAAACTTCTCACCCCAACAGCACGGTTTCAGGAAGAGTCACTCTTGTATGAACAATCTACTGACTACAGTGGACAGATGTACACGCATCCTTGATCGCAAGGGGAAGGTTGATATCACTTATCCTGATTTTTCAAAAGCTTTTGATTAGATCAACCATATATGTCTTATCAATAAGCTCAAACGATTGGCTATCCGATCACCTCCAATCGACTGGTTCATTTCATATCTAAAAGATCGACATTTTAAGATTAGGTTTAACTTCACTTTCTCTCAGACTATGGAATGTCCTAGTGGGGTCCTTCAGGGTTCAGTACTAGGACGTCTGTTCTTGACTTATATAAACGATCTTCCACAACAGGTACCGTCAGACTTATTACATTCTGCTGATGATGTGAAACTTTGGAGAGAGCTACGCAACCAAGACGATGTACTGACGCTTCAGGAGGATCTCATTCGACTTCAAAGTTGGGCAGACGACAACAGACTTACATTTAACACTTCAAAGTGCAAAGTAGTCCATCTGAGACATGTCGCGGACTACAGTTATAACTTAGGTACCTCCTCTCCAGTAGTATCCCAAGTTGAAAAAGATTTAGGAGTCCTGGTGCCCTACGATTTAGAGTCTCACGCTAACTGTGACAAAAATGCCTTCCGAGCAAACCTTGCACTGGTAACATTGAAGCGCATTTTCGGCCAGTTTGACGGAAGAACTTTCCATATTATTTTCGATAGTTTTATCCGTCCCGGTTTAGAGTACGGAAACATAATATCTTTTCCCTTACTCCAAAAGGATAAGGACACTCTGGAGCATATCTAACGGCAAGCCATGAAATCAGTTCGAGGACTCAAATTTAAACCTTATGAAGAGCGCACGCAATCACTAAACCTCTGCCCGTTATAGTATAGGCGTCTAAGATGTGACCTTCGAATAGCTCATAGTATCTGTAACACTTCTGGACATCCCCTTAAACACGTACTTGAGCTTAGTCCCAATACAAACCTGAGGGGTAACACCAGAAATTGGAGACACAAGATCGCAGAACGGGCTGTAGAAGAAGCTTCTACTCCTTAAGGGTTGTCAAATGCTGGATTTCGGTGTCGACTGAACTAGTCCAAGCGACTTCCCAGGAGTCATTTAAGAGGCAACTTGACCTATTCTTAAGGACCAAGCATAGCATCTCATTATGATTAACCAATTTCTTTTTTCCCATATTATCGGTAACATACCTAGATTCCTAACTGGAGGTATTATTGATCTACTGCTACTAGATACGTAAGCCTGTTTAGCGAAACTGTCCATTCTGTCTACAACCATTTGAATGACAACATGTAATGGATTGGGCTTAGATAAGTTTTCTCAGAACAGCCACTATAGCTCAAAACTTTATTGACTTTGGAAATTCTTAGACCTCAGTTGTCATATTATAAACTATGGTTTTCCAGGACTCCAAACATGTGTTCAATTTTCTTCAGTCAACTTGCTTTGACAACGTCGCTTCTGGTCGTCATTGTTTTCAAAACTTCGCGTTACAAACGAAGATGGATTGTGTCCTTGCACCACTATTTGCAATAGTTGAGTGCCCCAGACTGAAAATAAAGAAACCGAGTTTCATAACATGGCCGTCTCCAATGGTTTTCTTTTCCATTCTCATCCTTAGTTATTTTTTAATCACAGGAGGTAAGATCTAATTTGCACTTGTGTTCTCATACTTATGTTTTTAAAGAGATTTTGTACTTTTATCGGACTCACATTTATTGTGTTATGTACTAGTGAAGTTTTTATTGTATGGCAGCTGTTATTTATAGGGTTTTTAACAGTTTTATTGACACCCCGATTTCTACCGGTATTCTTAAGAAGTCAAGACACTTGTCACGAAATAAGATATGGTAAAAAAATGCATAACGCAATTGTATAATATAGAATCATTTGACTCTTTCTGAAACATTTTAACTGCTAGAATGAAGTATCGCAGACTCAATTCATTGTAGGATCTAACCTAAGTCTAATGTACTACTAGTACTTACAATGGATGTGGTTCATAACTTAAAACGTCCTTTGCAGGGTACTTCGGGCGCATTGAACTATCAATAATCAAATTATTGCGGTCTTTTTACATTTGAAGATCTCGCATTTGATAGCTACAGTTCACGCAAAATGCCTTAACGAGCACTCAAGGTTCCTGTGCACTCTGTAAGACGGCGGTTGGTCTTCAACCATATTCCATGTATAAGCTGCAGTTCTTTATACGAAGCCAAGTAGCATTATCTGCACCACAAAAATATAGCGGCTCGGGACACGAACTTGGAGTATGCTGTCAAGTTATTATTGCGACTGCTACTCTCTTCCCATACCCTTGGTTTTAAACGCATGATTTTACAGAGGGCTATCTGGCGCAAATTCTAATCAGATGACTCACAAGATCTTTTCCCGACCAAAACAAAGGCGAAAGTTAGTGTGCAGATATGGGTCAGTGCCAGACAAATTCTGTGCATCCTGTTCTCTTAGAAGCTATCTTTATTCACAGGTTTTAACATCAACGGATTGAAACTTCATTTCAACCAGAGATCCGACTACCAAAATGAGATTAAGCACTTGTTATTCGTACGAATATCCCTTCTCGAGACGTGTCGCTTCTTAATTTATACTTTTCGCATTACGTGACGAAGAAGGTATAAATGCTGGCTTATTAGTAAGTGTAAACAACTCTCAAGTATAAGTATGGGATACCCCCCGGAAATAACTAGCGAAGTAACCTAACAAATATGTAATAAGTTTCTGCCCACTTTTTTTATATCATATTTTTATGCCTTAATTTCATACTGTGAAATACAAGCATTAAAGTTAGGAATTGGTTGATGGTACATTGTTGCTTATGTGCATGATTATTTCGCCATACAGGGGTCATTTACGATATGATCGTTGGACCGCCAAGCATGGGGACGGAAACGGACTCCAGGGGCAATCAAAAACCGGTAAGTCATATTCATCATGTTTTAATGAGACTTAGGTAGCTATCATGGTTTGGCGCCTAAACAGTCAATACATACTCGAAGGACTTGCAGCCAGTTTTATGTTTGTTATGGGGAGTTTCGGATTTATCGTAATGGATAAAGTCAACGAGGCCAAGGTCACGAAGTTAAACCGTATATTACTGATGGCACTAGGAATCGGATGCATCTTAGTATCGCTGCTCACCTTACGGATTTTTATCAGTACTAAATTACCGTAAGTTACAATAATTAATCTAATCTTGCCTCTTAGGTCCTACATGCGGTGATTTCCCAACCATTATAAATAAGTTGAAGACTGTTCCGTGCCAAATCAAGTCGCTAACTTCAATGTAATTCAGTTTCTGAAGTCACATGCTTTTTACTACTATAGAACTTCTTGTATTTCTTCATACGTTATAACAAAATGTAATATATATATATGTATTATCTCAAAAATCGTCCGGGCAATTTAGAATATAAGGCCTCCTTCCAGTCGCCACCATTTGCCATGTATGCTAACATTATATCAACGACATGATTTATCGCTAACACTGGGTTAGATATTTTTCCAGATGTGAACTCTCCAATTGGGAGTCGCACGGCACGGAAACCCTGATTTTCAGCTTCTTGTCGGCTTCGTCCCTAGAAAGAATAAAAGTTAACGTATAGTTGCAAAGTAAGAATGAGACCTGGTTACAATTATTATTAGTAGTATAACAATAGACGCAACCTGGAAAATACTGAAATGAATTTGATTACAATTCATGTTTACTTCCATATTTGTTCTAAACAACTTTTTTTACGTACAGTATTTATCTGTTTAAATAACAGCGTCGAAATATGAACGATCAGTATCCGTTTCAGTAGAAACAATGGGTGCAGTTTAAACTTGTGACATTTAAAAACCAAACTTCATATCAACTGTCTACCACTTCATTCACAGAAAGTGAATACATTGAGTTCCTAGCGAAGTCTTTTGGAGCATTGTAGTTATTGTGATTGACCGTAGGATAATAAGTTGAGGTAGGTACAAATCAGAAACTAAGACTAACAGCCGTTCGGGATCAGAAAAATTACAATAAGAAGTAATGAGTCTAACATTTATGAGCAACACGAGCTAAAAGACGCTGATGGTTAATAAAAATACAAATAGGACAAGTAAGTCAGTGTTAAACTATCAGAATGAAAAAAGCTAGTGTCAAATATCTTATATATGTATATATACACTGATAATCTATATCACATCTGGTATTTAACACGAGTGCTAACAGTAGCTGACTGTATATGAGTGCATTCAGCTACTTGACCTCTCATCTACTTTCGTCACCACCGTTGTGTAAAAAATCAAAACATGCTACAATTTCGCTTTTCAATAATTTGAAAGGAAACATTTGAGATCTGGGAATTTGAAGTCCTCTGAATCTGTCACAGTTTGTAGGGCACATTGACTTCTTTTTGGAAGCCACTTGTTTTTTTAGCGAGTCAATCATGGTTTTAGCCTACCGTTACATTTTGGAACAGAAGAAACCAACGCCTTACGGAGGTTTATGAATATTTTCCCTAATAAAATGACCTCAGGTGCTAATCAGAACTGTATACTCTTTCTAACTTTTATAAGGGTGTAAGAAGAATGAGTGGATAAGCATAATCACACAGTCATTGCATTGTAGGTAAAATTAAGCCCGACCGAAGCTGCTACCTTGACGTGGTGGTCGGGCTTGCCTATCGTGATGACCCATCCGAGCTATATTGGCTGGAACATATGTTCCTGTAGGTTCTACCATGCCAGGCAGGTCGATTGGTGAACGGTAAGACTAAAAGCAGCAACTCAAAGTCTGAGGGCGAAGTCGTACTGCTGACTGTACAGAGGTGTGACAGCAGTAAGGTGTTTCCTTCGGACAATCAGCATGACAGCGATGCTGCCTTCCCACAAGGAGGGGTGGGGTTAGAAAAGGTCGACCCTAAAAATGTCACACCTCACCTTACCTCACGGATTTCCGTCTCCGGCGGTAAGGCCATCTGAAGAACGGAGCTAACACGTCAAAAACCTTCTACAAAAAGGCCGTGCGCGACCGGCCTCAAGCAGTTGTCCCTTGGGCTCTGCGGTCACGCTCCCAGGTCGTTAAGACCAACACTAATCCAATTTCCTTTTCAGGTTCCTCAAGAAATACCCTTCCACGGTGTGGGCAGCCGGGAAGTGACATCAGCCCTCATACCCGTAACAGCACGCGAGACCAAGTTGGTCACATTCAAATCCTTCCTACACCTTCTAATACCTCTCTTATCTCCATGACTAACCCTCCTCACGTCTCTTTATCACCTCGCACCGCTAGGGCAAACGATTCGAGTACGTGGAACTCTATTCCTGGTCTCCTCAAACCACGCTCTAAACTACACGTAGGAGCTTTTAACGTCCGAACACTGTGCCAAATAGGACAGCAGGCTTCCTTAGCTAGGACTTTAGAATCTCGCGCCATCGATGTGTGTTGCGTCTCCGAAACGCGCATACAGGATCCAAGTAGCATCATTCATTTGACCTCACCATGCCAAAATAAAGAACCGACTCGATTTACGCTTCGTGTATCTGGAAGCCCTGATTCTGCTTCCCGTGGCCTCGCCGGCGTAGGTATAGCATTGAGTCCTAGGGCTGAACTAGCTCTCTTAGAGTGGATCCCAGTAGACAGTCGTTTGTGCGCTGTCCGACTGAACGGAACAGTAAGAACCCGGAAAGATAGGGACACTCGTCGTTGCCTCTTCGTCGTCTCTGCCTATTCTCCCACTGACTGCAGCTCAGATGATGTAAAAGATGAGTTTTACAGAAAGCTTTCGGACCTTCTCCGAAAAGCTAAGCGCTCGGATGTAGTAATAGTGGCCGGTGACTTTAATGCTCAAGTAGGTAAACTAAGCGATAGGGAAAGACACCTGGGTGGATCTTATAGTATAGTGGCTCAAAGAACAGATAATGGCGACCGTCTGTTGCAGCTATGCTCAGATAATCGCCTGTTCCTTGCAAATACTAACTTTAAGCATAAGGAAAAACATCTTTTAACATGGAGACCCCCTAATTCGTCCCAACGTTGGACCCAAATAGATCACATCGCTATCAGCCACCGATGGAGGGGCTCGATAGAAGACTGTCGCTCATTCTGGAGCACATGCCTAGATTCAGATCATGCTCTAGTACGAGCGCGTATTTGCCTGCGTCTTACTGGACGTAGGAAAACCGCTGCAAGGAAACCTCTTAGGGGCCTACTTAATGATAGTCAAGCTAAGAGTATATTTCAGGAACAACTAGGAAAACAGTTAGGCAGCCATGTATGTGATGCTCACCCCGAGGCAGCATGGAATGATATCCGAAAAGCTGTGGAAACAGCAGTGATATCTGTTAGTAAGGTAAACCAGAAGGTTAGGGAGCAACACTGGATCTCAGCAGCATCTATCGCACTGATAGATGCTCGGAAACTCATTCCACCTGGCTCTGAACATAGTGAAGAGCGGAGTCAGCTTAAGCGCAAACTAACAAGAAGTCTACGCAATGATCGCGAACAGTGGTGGGTAGCGAAAGCAAGAGAGATGGAAAAGGCAACGGCAATAGGTAATAGCAGACAATTGTTTAGACTTGTTAAGGAAACCGGAATTAGGAACCCGACTGTTAGCGAAACAATCTCAGAGAAAGATGGACATATTATTCATTCTCAATCCAGGAGATTGGATCGATGGGCAGAACACTTTAGGGATCAGTTCAACTGGCCTTCAGCCACACTTCGGTTTCCCACGATCTCCAGTCAACCTGAATGGCAAGTTAATGTAGGTCCTCCGTCTCTTTATGAAGTTGAAAAAGCCATAGGAAATCTGAAACGAGGGAGAGCAGCAGGCCCTGACAGGTTTACTCCTGAGATTTTTAAGGATGGTGGTCCAGTATTAGCAATGAGATTAACCGAGGTCTTAGGTAGAATTTGGGAACTGGACGTAATCCCATCTGACTGGTCTCAATCACTGATTGTGCCAGTTTATAAGAAAGGACAAAAGTCCTCTTGTGACAATCACAGAGGAATCAGTTTGACTAATATAGTGTCTAAAATATTAGAACAACACATATAAGCGAACAATTGTTTTCAATTAGATCGTCATCAGGCTTTACTCTAATATACATGAATATTTATACGAAAATGTTAAACCAATCAAGGCAATATGAGTCAATAATCACAATGAAATAAAATAAGTCTCTAGGTAAAAGTACAAGTTGATAGTAGGAAGACAGGTGAACTGATAATAGTGAGAATAATAAAATACAATAACAAAACTCTTATCAATAATTAAACGTTGGAAATAGAAGGTCAAATAAACATGGGTAAATAGACTAGGAATAGTAATCACAAAACATTAAAATCATTACGTAATAAGATGTGTGTAAATAATTAGATAGTGAAGAATACAAAGAGGCGGAAAATTACAAACAAATAATGGATGTGAAAATAAGGTCAATGATAACACAAATAAAATAAAATGAATAAGGATAATAATAAAATAAAATAAATAAATAAAAAGAATTGTTAGTTAAGTTATAACTGGCCATGGAAGGGATAGGGGGGTCACGTATTTCTTCTGTACACATAAATTGGGGTTATATGTACGAATTCCAATGGCTTCAGCTATATATAGGAGACGGGAACGGACTCCGTCGGGAAATGATGGAGGTATACGATAGATAACTCGAAAAGATTTCGATTTATCTACTGCATGACCGCTATCAATAAGATGTGCCAATATAGAACTCCGAATAGATTTCCTCTGGCCCTTTATGTACCAAGTTGGTAGATGTTCACTCATTCGTTGGTTAAGTTGCCTGGTAGTACGCCCTATATAGCTATCTCCACAGGAGCAGCTGAATTTGTAAATGCACATGGAAGAGGCCAACTCAGGTAACTTATCCTTCGTTTGAGTAGACATCGCTGGTCGACAAGAGAAGGTCAACGCCAGATTGGCTGCGTAGAATGTCCTGGTGATTACTTTGGTTAATCTATATTTCAGAGTGTCACTAGCTATATATAGGGCGTACTACCAGGCAACTTAACCAACGAATGAGTGAACATCTACCAACTTGGTACATAAAGGGCCAGAGGAAATCTATTCGGAGTTCTATATTGGCACATCTTATTGATAGCGGTCATGCAGTAGATAAATCGAAATCTTTTCGAGTTATCTATCGTATACCTCCATCATTTCCCGACGGAGTCCGTTCCCGTCTCCTATATATAGCTGAAGCCATTGGAATTCGTACATATAACCCCAATTTATGTGTACAGAAGAAATACGTGACCCCCCTATCCCTTCCATGGCCAGTTATAACTTAACTAACAATTCTTTTTATTTATTTATTTTATTTTATTATTATCCTTATTCATTTTATTTTATTTGTGTTATCATTGACCTTATTTTCACATCCATTATTTGTTTGTAATTTTCCGCCTCTTTGTATTCTTCACTATCTAATTATTTACACACATCTTATTACGTAATGATTTTAATGTTTTGTGATTACTATTCCTAGTCTATTTACCCATGTTTATTTGACCTTCTATTTCCAACGTTTAATTATTGATAAGAGTTTTGTTATTGTATTTTATTATTCTCACTATTATCAGTTCACCTGTCTTCCTACTATCAACTTGTACTTTTACCTAGAGACTTATTTTATTTCATTGTGATTATTGACTCATATTGCCTTGATTGGTTTAACATTTTCGTATAAATATTCATGTATATTAGAGTAAAGCCTGATGACGATCTAATTGAAAACAATTGTTCGCTTATATGTGTTGTTCTAATTTTCACAATGGGAATCTTTAATATTCTAAAATATTAGCCTCAATAATACTTCGACGCCTAATCAAAGCTCGTGAAGAGCAGACTCGAGAAAATCAGGCTGGTTTTCGACCTGGACGTGGTTGTATAGATCAGATATTCACACTACGTCAGGTTCTAGAACACAGACACACGTTTAGACGCCCCACAATGGTAGTATTTCTCGACCTTAAGGCGGCATTTGACTCTGTTGATCGTGAGGTTCTATGGCAGTGTTTGTCACTGAAAGGAGTACCAAAGAAGTACATTAACCTTATAAAGGCTCTCTACTCGAACACAACTGGTAGAGTGAGAGCTTACGGCGAACTGTCATCAGAATTGATTACCTCAAGTGGTGTTCGTCAGGGCTGTCCACTCTCCCCATTCTTGTTCAACTTTGTGGTCGACGTACTTTTAGAGATAACACTCTCCTCATCTAAATTTCCGGGGGTTGAACTTCTACCGGGAGGTTCACTTGTTGACTTAGAATATGCAGATGACATAGTTTTATTTGGTGAAGACGCTGACAAAATGCAGAGTCTTCTGACCACTCTAAGCAACAATGCAAGCATGTTCGGGATGCGATTCTCTCCCTCGAAATGCAAAATGTTGCTTCAGGATTGGGTTACATCGACACCCGAACTAGTGATAGGGAGTGAAGTAGTTGAGTGTGTCGACCGCTTCACTTATCTTGGAAGTCTCATCAGCCCTTGTGGTCTGGTGTGTGACGAAATCTCAGCACGGATACAGAAGGCTCGACTAGCTTTTGCCAACTTGCGTCATTTATGGCGTAGACGAGATATCCGTCTACCAACCAAAGGACGTGTTTACTGCGCAGCAGTTCGTTCCGTCCTACTTTATGGCTGTGAAACATGGCCGGTAAGAGTAGAGGATATTCGTAGGTTACTAGTATTTGATCATAGGTGTCTTCGAAGTATTGCTCGTATATCCTGGGACCACCGAGTAAGTAACGCAACTGTTAGGAAACGGGTACTAGGTAAGGATGGCAAATCAATTGATGAAGTAGTGAAACTTCATCAGTTGAGATGGCTGGGACACGTGTTACGTATGCCCAACCACCGACTACCTCGACGCGCTATATTCAGTGGTATAGGAGTAGGTTGGAAGAAAGCTAGGGGCGGCCAGACCAAAACATGGCACAAATCCATGAAGTCACTGACAAGTGGACTGAGTCATGTTGGTAGGTGTAGACTACCTGGTTGGGGACCGCGAGATGATAGCAACCGATGGTTAGAGACCCTGAATGACATGGCTCAAAATCGTTTGCAATGGCGCAGGTGCATCCACTCTTTGTGTTCTCCCAAATTCTAATCTTCTGAATTCTTCATGCCCCTTTTTTTCCTCTTTCCAAATTTATTTCACTGGATTATACTCGTTAAATATCATCTCCAAACCCTAATCTTCCCGATTACTGCTTATACTCTTGCTACCTCTACCACTACGGGATTTGAATCGACCACTGCATCTCTGTGCTAATGTGGTATGGCAACTCGAACTGATGTACGTACGTACTAAGTTCTACGTTGTTACTGACTGACTGACTGAGGTAAAATTAAGCATCAAACTAAGAATTCATATGGGAAGTCAGTGACTCGATAAATAACAGCAGCTGATGTTTCAAACAACAAAACTAAACACTGCTATCCGAATCTTGAACATTTTCTTATTCTATGTCTAGTTTTTCCTTCTAATTGGTCTATTTACTTTTGTATATTGAGCTAATTGAGCGAACATTCGACTTGGGTCTACTTACTACACAAAATTATAACTACTGTTAGCAAATCTATAAGTTTTCTACCATACAGTATTACCTTTAATATATGTTCATCCACAAGACATCCTAGGACGTACGCACAATTTTCCGATATAGATACCAGTGGTTCCTTTGCGTCCGGACTGAGGTACACGATTTCTATATTTTCTGGAGTGATGCTTGATGGTGTTTCAGAGTACAATCCAATCTATGAGATAGTTAAATATCACTTTGTAATAAAGCGAAATAATACAAAACTGTACATCCAGATATAAATCGTTTCTGTCACGAAGATAGGGGTGCACACGTACATACGACCATTTACCAGGCTAGTGAGATTGTGGAGCTACATCATTGGTAAACAACAGCCGGTCGCGCACTACAAATAGGATTGTTCCATATTATATTTTATGCAAATGCTGTTGTTTCGGTGGTTTTTGAAACAAAGATGGGGCAGAAGGTTTATGGGTAGACAGACATAAACGTACTTTAAAACATCAATTATGAAATTCCAGACAACCTATAGCATGCTTAATAACGTATTACGAAGCTGTGGTTCACTACCTCAACCAGTCGGGTTGATACACCCCATGTTTTGACAATCAGGCAGCAGTACCATTAACCCTCTCAGAATTCATCGCACAACAGTTAAATTCAGCGAATAAAATGTAGAATCCATGGTGTGTATGGAGAGACTAGGTCTAGACGTATTCATTACTTACTCGTAGGTCCTTACCTACATAAATGTGTCATTATTATGTAATTGACCTTCTTGAGTATTTCAGTGTTGGAAATTCGACAGGATTTCGTGTCAGTTCCCGAACATTATTTCCCAACTGCAGAATGTTAGTAATGCTTAAATTCCTTGATGTTCGTAAGATAACTGGTCTCGTGTCCCCAAATCTTACTTTCCCTTTATCAATAAACACCCAATTTCATCCAGTAGTTTATAAGTAGTGGCCCTCGAGGCAATTAGCTATCGTTTAGCGTTTTCAACGAAACCTTTTATAAAGTATAACAATATAATATCGTTGCTGAACGATATTGGACCCCGAGGAACGTAACTAACGTTAGAAAGTAGAGACACAAGCAACATATCAAGAGGATGTGTATGAAATCTTAACTACTGATCGTCTAAAGGGAGTTGTGTTAATTTTCAACATAAGAATCTTAAAATATCTAAATGACACTAGATCCAATCGACACAATGATTAAAAGGTGGAGAATACGGAAACTGTTACATTTACAAGACACTGACCTTATATTTTAGGAATCCATCACATTTGGACTGGCAAGCATGGAACAAAGGTCCATGTTGTGAGAAATTCACAAGGTTGATGCTTAAGGGCTTCGTTGCTTTTTTGTTTGCGCCATAAAGACGACATAGTTGTTGAGCGAATTTATTACATTCCTACAAAGTGATAGTTTTCCGCGTGAACACGAACTTTAGGAGACATAAGAGCTTCATAGGAACAATCTATGTAGATCCTTATTCCTTCATGCAGTGCGATCTGCAATCTGTTGGAGACTTCCTTTTTTAGAAACTTCTTGCTGTGATAACGGTTTAGTTCTATATCTTCCCTTATTTTATTGCGCAAAGCTATCTTCCTGCGGACTTTTTCCTGTTTTCGCCTTTCTTTTTTGCGTTGAAGTATTCGACGATATTTTTTTTGACAAGAATCTGTCAGAAACATGTTGCGATATATTTGGTAACTAACTTGACATCCTTTGTTTTTTTAAACCCTAAAAAATTCAAAGCATGTGTCAATCGAATCGACGAATAATAGTAATGATGTGGTGTAGGTTTTTTTTACTGATAAAAGGACCTTGATTGAGAGGTAGTTTAGTGAGAAAGGCGTTCAGATTTCAACTACCAGGTGGGTTATTACCTTACTTCACTTACATCAGTCTGACCAATTGAGCCACAAGTAATGAAGCTTCATGTCAAATGCACTTGTTATATTAAACATATTTGCTTTAATTTTATAACGGGAAGGCTACTCGATTTATATTTAAGCAGTTGACTGAAATCCGTAATTAAGAGTACTCTCCATCATGGTATTACAGAGTACCGCTTAATGTTAGTATGAGCATCTGTAAACAATGACTGTTAAGCCCGATCGCTCTAAGATTAGGAACCTCAGCAGTAGCGTATTTCCACTTTGTTCACACTCAGACAAGCTTATTATTCTATAATTTCCTTATTATGTGAAGTTATCCGTTATATCTGTGTTTCCGTTGTGGTCTATTTATTGACTCTGTTAAAAGACGCAGTTCGAGATTCGTTGTCATACAAGTCTAGGTTATGTAGCTTGATGAAGATGCTTTAGCAATAGCGTTTATTATTCGGTTATCCAAATATAAATTTTTAAACATTTCACTTAATAACATGATTGGGGCTGGTATCTGAAGTCCAGTGTGTACCGCTAATCATGATGGATACCAACCGCCGTCATATGAACAAAAACGATATCACGTCTATGCAGAGTTCTTGGAACGGACCGTCAAACCACATCCAGCAGTTGACTAAGTCCGTGGGTAACCAATCAACACGTTTGGTTCTTTGAGTCCCTTTCGTCTCCACATACACGTATGACAATGAGATCCTAAAAGCATTACCATTTGCTTATCTTGCCGCTAGGACAAGTTGATAAAACTAGTAATATTACTATCGATGGGTCAGTGTAATTCGGTCTGATTGCGGCCACAGTTTGTTGTTTTACGACAATATTTACCGCTTACTATCTTACAACGATATATTCAAGGTGCGGTTCTAACTCGCATTGATTAAACAACCAGCAGCTAATGATATCCAAATCTCCCAAAGTCAAATGACCTCCAGGGTTAAAGGGGAATTTCCTCAGGCCTGGGAAAATTTCGGGGTTTTAGTGTCGTTTCCCCAAGTTTACTATAGCGGCTCCCCCGAAATTCGGAGCTCGAGCTCACGAACGTAACATAGATACTGAGGATCAAGTATTACCAAAAAACTACATGCCATCGTAGCGCTTCGTGTCTAGCTAGAGTACTTAGTGTATTAGAGGGGCACGGAGAGTAGAGGGGCCGGAAAAAAACCAAGAAAACGCTGATCGAAGACCAACCACGTGCAGACAATACACTTACATTTATTAAAAATAGCAACAAAAAAACAATCAGAAATAACAAGCCTTAGATTATGGCAATCTTGGTCGGGAGCAGGGACCAAAACTTATTCAGCTGCACCGTCATCAGTTGTAAATTGCGCGAGATATATACATGCACCCCTATTAGTTGTTTTTCACGAGCATTTGCGTGGTAGTCATATACATATAAGATCTCACATGCTCGTGGTCAGACCATTACTAAGTGAATCTTTCAGGTAAATGATTATTGTCGTAACTGTTCATTTTACGCGAGTCAGTTTATTTGTCTTAATCCATCATGGTTCTGTGAAAGAACTCGATATTGTCGACTTTAAAGTCACCATTGATGAATTACCCCCTTTTTAATTCATTAATATTAGACACTTCATCTGACATCGGATCGCTCATGCCCTGTGTATGGATTGAGATCAACTGTTTTCCTACTAATCTAAAAACTGTGTGTGATAAACTCTATGCAAGGAAAAAAGATTGCTAACTCATTAGCCCTTCCATACAGAAAGCAGTGTGTTGTGCTTGGCAACATTTCTGGCAGGAACCCACAAGCAAAGTACCCGGACATTAATTGAATTGGAAGGTTACCATAGGTATAAACTAACAGAATTAGTACAACATGTAAGCATAGGTATATTTTTGTTCATGCATTGACAGATAAGTTATCAATCACTGATCGTTTTCACTTTTCAAGTAGGTTAAAAAGTGCCAATTAGTTTTATAGTAAGCTATTTACTCAAAATTTATTGTTCTGCTCTGAAATAATCTTCAGTGTGCTACATCACATTCTAATACTTCGTTTAACTAAACTTGCCAGCATGCAGCGGTAGATAAATCCCTAAAATCAATAGCTCTGTAACTTTTCGACATTTGGTGTTAACCGCATCAGTTTTACTTGACTCATCTAGTTGAAGACATTCGTTCACACATCCTCACCAGATCACGTGTGGGTACTGTGTGATTCACTACAATAGCTATCCAGCTTAGATTAGTCACTTCTCGACATATCGATATTCTATCAAACATATCTTCGAACCATTTCGACTCTGATTTCAAAGTCTTGACACCTTTCGAATATAAAATATAAAGGTTCTGCCAAACTCCGAACACTTGGGGCATCTTCAGTAGTGAACCCGAAGTGATCTGGCACACCTATCTGTAAACCGTGAGTCTGTTCTCTTATGGAGCTCTGTTTATCAAATTTTACTTTTACATATTGTGATATTTTTAAAATGTTTTATGGATATTTTGTTTCCCCGTACTTTGCTCTACCTAATATTCATCATGACCGAACAAATCCTCAAATTATCCAAGACCAAAACTCTGACACCACCCTCATTTTACTTAATGCTATTCTGTTAAAGTAATATCGAAGCCTGGTTCTGCTGCACAGAAGCTGACTTCCACGAACACAATGTGATCAATCCACGTGCTAAATTCCTCGCAGTAGTGAAGGCAATACCGCGCGAATTCAATAGGCACGTCACACCTAGTATGTTTACTGGTGATGCCTCGAAATCGTGGGAAACTTTAAAAAGAGCTATTTTTAGACATGCAAATTTGACCGATCGACAAATGTTAGATCAGCTCCTCAATAACATCGATATCTAACGTGACTCAACAACAGATGTGGCATCATGAACGAGAGAGGTCATTGGTCAATGGGCCTTTGGCGAAAGCCTCTTTAGACAAAATGTCTTGTCTAAGCTTCCCCAACAGTTGCAGGAAGTTCTTGTCTCACTTGAAAACAACGCTGTATACAAGCTGGCCGCATCTGCCGACCGAAATCTGGAGATCACCAGAACTTCGAACACTAGTGTTCATCCAGTCGACGAAGAGCCTCAAACTAAACAAAATGACGTTACAGAACTCTGTCATACTCTGGCGCGTGACCTTAGTATTCGTCACGACTATGGACGATCTCAAACTCCTCGAAGGAGTGTTTCACAAATACGATCTGTCTTTAGGTCAGGAGAGACAGATGACCCTGACTGGTGCTGGCATCATAATTAGTGAGGAAAATGTACTCAGAATTGTAGAAAACCCTGCGGTTTCCCGAGCCCCGAACCAACAGACACGAAAATCGTTTCAGGAAACTTCTTAGATGGCACGCGTTAACGGCAACCGTAACCAGTGGATATAGTCACCTTTCATGCATCACTAATGTGATTACGAAAGTCCGCTACCTCGTCGGCACCAGCGCAGAGGTTAGTGTCCTTCCAGAAAATCCTAACGATCGATTACACGAAGCAGTTTTCAACTTACGGGCGGCATGTGGGAAACCAATTCCTACATACGTTAAGCGGTTTGTTTAGCTTAACGTAGTCTTACGCTAACCCATCCATCACGTGTGGTTGGGTTTGTATTCGCTCTGTTGTATTTGAGGATCTTGCTATTTTCTATATTTATGTGAAGGCCTATTGATGCAGAGGCTGCTGCTACACTAGTTGTCTTCATCTGCATTTGTTTGGGTGTATGGAATTGAAGGGTCAGGTCATCTCTATCGTATTTCGAGATTTCCGTCAGATTTGAGGGTCTTCGTAGTCCAGTCGGCTAGCATAATATATATCTGCAAGGGAAGGTGTACGTCATCTTACCAGCATGATCTACAAATTACAACGTTTATTGATTCACACTATGCATGAAAGATAAAAACCAATGGTAGTGTGGCGGTTTATTCTGTACACAAGTGACCCTCATGGAATCCAGCATTCTGATCTCGAAGTTGGGCGTCTACTGAATATTTCATCCTTTACGGCGACAATCTGTTGAAAAAGTCTCCTAGTACCGCTGATAGTGTGCTGCCTTTACAGTTCTCTCACTTCCTCTGATTTCTTTTCTGTTGTATCTTGATGAGGTATTTTCATTTCCGGTCCATCGGCACTTGTTATTTTCCCCACATCTTCCTGAATAGAATGTAGAGCATCTGTGCGGTTATTGCTGTGTCTGACATCAGTGCTTTAGCTGATATACTATTACGTACTTCTGCTTTCCAACTCTGACGGTCATACCGATTTCTTCAATCTTTGATGGGGTGACATCTTATAATGTTTCGAATTATTTGAATTATAGCACTAAGTAAGAGTCCAAGAAATAACGCAAATGAATTAAGAAGTCACAAGCACAAACGAATATACTGTATTTGGAATTCGAAATAGTGCAATCAACATGTACAAAAGTATCATTAGTCAATTCAAACACCACATCCGCCACAGCTTAAATAGAAGTATAAGTGTTTGCAATCGGTTGTATGTTTTCTTGTTAAGTTCATCCTGAGTCTGTCCGACATTGTACTGGATGAAAACTTTGTAGTATCTAGAATGTGCTCATTAGTATGGGAATTAACAAACGAAATCGGAACAGACTCACCTGGAATTGTATACAATCAATATATCGGTTTTGTACTGAAATGATTCATATCTGGAATTGGAACCATAGATTTTTCAACGCTATCCCCCCCCCACGAAGTAATGTTGGGTCTTTATATTCCCAAGTTATGAATAATGTGGCTTCATTTAAAACATATTTCTCACAGTGATTAGAGTAAACATTAGAAGTGTTTTTGTGATAAGGATGAACATCAGTTGATATGAAATCATCAGAATTGTAATCAAAACCGAGCTCATTTAGTATTCGTGCTTTGCATTGAACAAGTTTTTCACAAGGAGCAAATGCATTATGAGGATAGGTAATACATATGACATCAGGATTTGATTTTACTGAAATATTTTCATGAAATTGACTAAGAATGTCATTGCAGAGCAATGGATCATTAGAAAAATTAGCATCTATCATGACTGCCTCAGGTTTTTGGTAATGAATAGGTTCATTTAACATATTTTCTTCAGATTTGTAAGAAATTTCATCAGAAATATGTGAATCATTAGGAAAAGCCATACCTGGTACAATAGCACGAGAATTCTGATAAATCGATTGATTAGAAACTGTTGTTTCACAAGAATTCTGAATTTGATTTAACTCTGAACTGCTTTTTGACTCTACACTGTCTATTGCAACAGTTGACAAAGATAAATCATCATTATAAATACTCGACTCAGTAGAATCAGAATTACAAGACTTAATATTAGTTGCAATAACATGAACATTAGTATTGCAGACTGACAGAATATGTTCAATATAACAACATTTAAAGCATTTAGAATTACGAAATTTACATGACTTAAAAGCATGGAACTTGCCACAGGACAAACACTGACCAAACTTGTGCCCATCTTCGTGAAACGCACTGCAACTCCGCAATGAATTATTTACATATCCTTGAATATGCACTGGATTAGGATAACGTGATGTAGTAGAACTTTTAATGTCCTGATGAATCATTTTAGGAAATTCCCCTTCTTTACTGCAATCAAAATTTGCATACCTGACATGGTCTAGTAGTAATGCCTTGAGAGTTGTATAAGGAAGCGAAATGGGTTTTTCCGGTATAGCCAGAGTTCTTAATAAACTGTATGCTTCTTTACCGATGAATGTGAGGAAATATGCCACAATATTAACATCCTCATCATCTTCTTTGGTCATGACCCAGATTTCGAACTCTTCGAAATAATCCTCAAAAGCTTCAGAAGTTGAATGAATGTCTAACTTTTCCATTGCAGGCTCAATCGCGACGCCAATATAATGTTTCGAATTATTTGAATTATAGCACTAACTAAGGGTCCAAGAAATAACGCAATTGAATTAAGAAGTCACAAGCACAAACGAATGTACTGTATTTGGAATTCGAAATTGTGCAATCAACATGTACAAAAATATCATTAGTCAATTCAAACACCACACATCTATAGAAATGCCTGCATGTGTTGCTTCGATGTTCGGTGGGTTCAATGAGGCTGGCCCACTTAAGAGTTCTTCGAAGTGTTTCACCTGTCTGTTCCTATGTTCTTAAATCTCGGTGACTGTCTTGTCTGCTTTGTCCTTTACCAGTCTCTCTGGATTACTATACATTTCTGCCAGTTTCCTCGTCATTTCATATAGCTGTCGTGTATGTCCTCCTTTAACAGCTTTCTTCAAGGTCGTTGCTCGTTCTTCCATTCTTTTCTGCTCGTCAACAGAAGAACTGGACGGTCGTTTCTTCCTATTGTGTGTGCATCCAGGATCCAGATCGCGA